ATATTAAACCTTATTATTAAACTGCTGTACTCAATTGGCTACTGCATTTCTCCTGTAATTCACTTTACATTATATTCTGTGATGTGGCTCCCTTAAGACTCCCTGTACACCTTAGGGACTTGAGCCTCAAGATTTCTTATAGTTTTAACTTAAGGCAATTGTCTTAAAATTTATTGTGCAGATTTTGGAATGTTCCTAAAGTACTAATTTGATTTTCAGCTATACCTATAGCTAATGGAAAATCCGTTTCCAAAAAGGGTTGAATTTAAGAATTTCCAAAATGTTGCGCAATCTTATATTTTAAGACCAAGGTCTTACAGCTAAAACTATGACACATGATGGGCCTTGATAGTTTGACACGGGGGAATGCAGGCTGAGTTACCTTTTTTGTTCATTAAAATTGATCTGTAATTATCTCATGAAACTAAAAAGAGAAGGGAGTTTCACCTAGTGTCCTGGCCAAAAATTCTCCCCATTAATTGATTATTTACTTCCCGGACTGGAATGTTACTGGCACAATTGCTTCCTGCTATCGCCAACAGTCACTACATTCCTGTACTCCAGGAGGTGGGGAGGGTAAGGGGGAGTCTCCTTGGAGCTGAACAAGATAACATGTTTGGCAACAGAATGTCAGAATTGAGCCCAACCTCTGCCGGATTTAGCAGATCTTTTCATGAGCCAGGCGGGTCCGCAGTACTCCAGAGCACTGCTGGGGACAGCACAACTAGGCTGGCTCATTGGCAAGACCAGTCACTGGGGGCAGGGATGATTCCCACTTATGCTCCTTTTAACCCTGAAAGCCAAAGCCCTAACTGGTAGGTAGTCCAAGCTGCACTAGCAGTGGGAAAGCTTGCCACACAGTTTTCTCAATGGCAAGCTATGCAGTTTTAGCTAGTTAGACTCCAGCAGTATCCCAAAGCACACGCTGGGATTCCGAAGCCTTGGCTCTTACCATCGTGCGCCTAATACTTTCCAGAATTAGGTAAGCAGGATGTGTCTCTCCATGGAGAGAGTGCACTTTCTATTCCAATAAACATCTCCGGAATTTCCAAGTATAGATAGAATGCATGTTTTGGATACCTTTTAGAATGGGTTTATAATAAATGTATTTGATATAGCACCTTATCAGGTTGTTGGGATGTCTCTAAGCACTTCACAAAATTTACTGTAAAGTGGATTGACTGTATTTTGAGGGGAAACCATGTTTCAGATGTCGTGTCAGATATCTGGCTGACCAAAAAATAACTACATTTAATAGTAATTATTTGTAAAGTATCTTAAAGAACAAATTTACAGGAAAGAAAATTGTTGAGATACAGTATTTCAACATGATAAAACATTTAGAAATACGAGTTCTACCACTGCAATCCAAATAGTAAATATTATGGAGTAATTATAGTAATTTTATAGTAACCTTTATTTTTGTGGCATATTAAAATGTATAAAATCTAAATGTGTGTGTGTAGAATACTGGCAATCTGTGAGTAATTATAGTAAGCAATGAAAAGATTATATTGATATAAAAAATTAGAGCAATCTTTCCATAATTTACGGTCATTTGAAATTGGATATTAGAATATTGCCTTGAAATTACTCCTGGTGTCTGTCATTAACTAACGTATGCAGTTTTAATTTTATGTAGATTTCATTTTGGATCTGCTTGTGTGCCATAAAGGGTTTTCAGTATGTTACATGCCTTTGAGGAAAATGACAGTCACATGAACGATTAACTGGTAACACAAATACTGCAAGTGTGTCCAGAAATAATTGCAGATGAACACCACAAAAAATTATGATCAACATTTATTATTAGAAAAAAAATCTGAAATACAATGCTGTTTATTTACTATAAATGTACGTTAATTATAATTGAAATATATTTGATTATCTTGAAAGATACAAGAATATTTTAGTTTTTTAATTCACATCATCACTCGCAACATTTCCTGCAAAATAGAGTACTGTGTAGTCTTCATGTCCAATTTAATATGCACTGCCTTTATAAAGTATAGCGTGATGCAAATACAATATGTGAGGCTGTAAAAATCTCATATCAGTAAATTATTTTATTAATGAATGATTTGGTTTATAATACTACACATATAGTATGATTAATAAGTAGGCAATTTCTAAATATTAAATAACATTTGAAAGGTACTGTTTAGAAAAAATAATAATTACCTTTTCCAGATTAATCCTTCAAAACATCAATTCACTCAAACTACTGGAAGAAAGATGAATGCATGGCTTTACATTCTTCTTTCTCGCAAATCATGCCTGCTGGGTATTGATGAGAAACATTAATGCTGCTGTGGGGGTCTGCATGCTGCTGAGTGAGAGCCATTGAAGAGCAGAGCAGAAAAACAAATGGGAGAGAAAAGTACTTAAGTAATGCACAGTTCTTTGTCATTTACGTGCAATATTCTTTTGAGAAAGAAAATTAGGATCATCCCTGATGATTTTCTGGCAACTGTACAATTTAGATTAGTACATTTCATTACCTTTCCCTCCCCATCCTACGGACAAGGAAGGTACCAGATTCAATTCTTCTACGCTGAGTTAACTGTTCTCAGCTAAAGCATTAGTGGGATCACCACAAGTGACCTCAGTATCCCTGGCTAGAGAGAATTATACAGAGTTCACATTCCTGCTTGCTATCCAATAACCCCTGCTGGAAAGGGTTCATGTGTGGCCTCAGGTCAGGCTTTTCTGACTCCACAGATAAACATGTTACTAATACTCACTGTCAAGCCGCATGCTTGAAGAATGACCACTTGTATGATGTTTAGTAGCCCTTACTGTCTAGGGTCAAATATGAGAAGTCTCTTGATCAAGGTTTTGAAATGTTTAGCATCCATAGAACTGTATCTTCATATGAGTCATTGCCTTCTGAAGAGGAGAGAATAAGATGATGCATGTGTAGTTTTTCTTGGTGTTTCTGTTCGATATTTGAAGAAAGCAGGCTGTACCAGCGTAAGACTAGTCTCTTTATTTTGCTTTTGGCACTTGATATTTTAATTATCATTTCTTATGTATGTAAAATGGGGAGAAAACAAACAAATATTGCATTGTCTGACAGGCTGTATGTCCTTCAAATGGGGCGTCTTCATTTATAATGAATTTCATTAGTTAGTTATGATGCACTCAGCCTTCCAGACTGAGCACATCATAACATGCAGCTTACCATCTGGCAAGAAAAATGTAGCCAATTGGCTCAATTGAAGAACTGAGAATGATCTCTGATCTCCATTATGTTGTCTTCCTGGATAAATGTTAACATGTGAGGCAAAGAAGAATATTAGGAATAGTACATTTAAAAATCTGTGATAACCAGAGAAACTATTTTTTTGAATAGTGTTGTGGGTTCTTTAATGTCCACCTGACCTTTATTTAATATCTCATCTGAAGGACGGCACTTCTGGCAATGCAACACTCCACCAATATTGGTGTGTCAGCCTAGACCACGGATTGCAGCCATGTGACTATTTTACGCATGCATAATGTTACCTGCGGGTTGAAAGTTGACCATCCGTGACCTGAACCAAATACTTATTGACTTGAACGAACAACCTTTTGACCCAGACACAAGAGTATTACCAACTGAGTAAGACTGACACCAGGTATAGTTGTTGACCAAAATTTGTTTTTAAGGATGTTAAAATATTACAACAATAACTTGCATTTATATAGCGCCTCTCACACAGAGTGGTGCGCCAGAGCGCCTGAAAGTGGCGGAGCACAACAATGAGCTGAGGTGACCGTAGGCAAGGGTTGAAGAGGAAGTTCTTCAGGCACGATCTGAAGATGGGGAAGGCAAGGGCAAGGTGGAGGGAAAAAGGAAGAGTGTTCCAAGAGTTTCAGGGCATAGTGGCTGAAAGCGTGGCCACCGATGGTGAAATGGAGGGCACAAGGGCATGCAGGAGGCCGAAGCCAGTCGAGCAGAGGCAGTGGGGAGTGAGTTGGGAGTGAGCAAATTGGAGAGGTAGGGAGATACCAGGGCATAAAGTGATTCGAAAACGATTGTGAAGATCTTGAAATCAATCAGTTTGACAATAGGGAGCCAGTGGAGCCTGGCTAGAACTGGTGTGATGAGGGTGCAGGGTTTAGTGTGGGTGAGAATGTGGGTGGTGGAGGTTTGGTTCGGCTAGATCTCGTGCATGATGGAGTTGGGGAGACCAACGAAGAGAGTATTTGAAACATTGAGTCGGGAGGTGACGAATGCATGGACGAGTGTTTCAGCTTAGTCTGGGGTAAGGTACAGTCAGAGGCGGGCAATGTGGCGGAGATAGAGTAAGGCGATCCTGGTCAGGGACTGGATGTGGGGAAGGAAGCACAGCTTTGGGTGGAACCTGATTCCTAGGTTGAGGGAAGCAAATTCTGGGGATTCGAACTCAATTGATTTGTCAAAATTGTTGAGAATCCTGTTTGTCTTCTTTATTGCTGACTTGTAATGTTTTTGACACGTTGCAAAGATGTAAGGGAGGGGAGAGGGGCTATTATCAGTTCCAACCTCCTTCCTTCGTCAAGGTATATTTGCGAGAAACTGTTAAAATTTACATACAGCTTATTATTGAAAGTGCGTACCTGTGTATCCTATTATTTGCTTGTTTCTGTCAGTCGTTGGAGTGAGCGAGAGCAGAGCAGAGGCCCTGCCCGCCCGGTTCCCGCAGCACTGACAGAAATTAAAATACGTTTGTAGCCCAAAGTCAACCAAACACGAGCCCAAAGTCGCCCAAATTTGTGTTACCTGCTGCGGGCAGCAGAGTGGCCAATTTGGGTTACTGCTTTTGAAACCGGAGGAAAAGGTCTTCAAATGGGGGAGGCGGTGGGCACATTTTGCCTAGAAATTTTTTAAATTGTTGAATTGAAATTTTACACCCGCCCAAAGACGTATTTTCACGCACAGCGATAACAAAAAGCCGCCCAATTGGGCGCATTGCCTCAGGGAGGTCGGCGGTTCCGTCCCACTGAGCTCAGCGGCGCCGCTTCCGGGTCACGCGCGGGGGGGGGGAGGGGCGTTTCCCTGTCAACAGCGGACAGAAGGTGCGCTATGGCGGAGCGCGGAGGTAAGGCGGAGAGGAGCGGCCGAGGGAGCCCTGGGTTTAGCTGTTTATCTATCGGTGTTGTGTTTCTCTTCGGGCGGTGGCGGCGGAGAGCCTTTTCCGACAGACAATGGAGAGTTGTGGAGAAAGGTGGAGGTTGTCTTCCCGGGCGCCCCGCCATTCCCATTTGTTTTGACGGGTGAAGATGAACTTCGTGTCTCTCCTCACCAGCAACACCACCATCACCACCACTACAACCATCTGCTACATATATTTAGTTTTAATCACTTGAACGCGCTTAATTTAGTGCACTTTCGCTGATGTTACTCATGAAAAAGCGTACCGGCCGAGCGCTTGGACAATGTCAGTGGGATAGTGGTGATAGTGTTAGACCTCACACAGACAATTCCCATCATAAGGCACTTCCTAATGCTTTTTTCACGTCTTTAGAAACCTGATATAACATTACCAGAGGACACAACAGGGGCAAACTGAGAACATAATCCGCATAAATGAGACTGACCTGATAACAAAATCACCAGTGGATTAAGATCAACCTGGCTGGAGAGGCTGGTCTGTAGAAGTTGTTGAGCACTGTTTTGTTCAAGGAAACCATATTTTGCTCCTTTTCCTTAATCATTAATGAGTGAAGTCAATATTTTTCAAACTCTAAACATTGAGGCAACAATGTAGTTTCCATTGGTGATGAGCAACAGATTATTCATGAAGCTATATTGCTTTTAAGAACGACAGATGTAAAATCAAAAATAATTGTCACTTCTAATCAATTGGGGAATTTGCAATTGCCAGTTCAGTATTCTGTTTGCACACTTGGTGTAATCCAGTTTCATGTTATTTTGGGTTAAGTGAAAACTAAATTAAAATGAAGTACCTTTTGTATTTTCTCCCTTTTGTGAAATATTCTGAAGTAGCACCACAATGTAAGACATTTTGAATTCAGAGCCTGTGCATGCATACATGATTTTGTAGAGATCTGAAATTGCAACTGGCTTTGTTTGTGATTTTAAAGAAAGCTCAGTGTCATTTACTTACAAGTTGGTAAGGTTACAATTGGTGCTTATGCCCAGGGCATTAATGTTTAATTTTTTTTTGATTGGGTTTTGTGGAGAAGCAGTTTTGGTTAGAGTTTAACCGCCCACGGGATAAACATTCAGTATTCCTAAAGATTAGAATAACTTTTGAATACTTGATGCCAGTATCTAAAAAATTGTGCAATTAATCTATTCTTAATACTTATGCATTATGTTCTGTAGTAAGAAATACATTTTAATGAATATTTTAGCTATAGCTGTAAAAAAATAAGCTAGTTGAAATTGCTTGATTTGTGATGATGTATCTTTGGAAATAATGTTTAATTCATGTGAATTACAACCTGGAATGACATTTTCTCATGTTAAAATAGGCCATATCCTGAATCAGTCTTTCATTGCTAGAGAGAATTGTTGCATCTCATTGATGACTATATGATATTTGGTTATTTGCAACTAATAAGCAATTTATAACCACCCAATTTGTACTTTTTATTGTACTCTATCTCTATTTTACACTGTCCTTGACTGAACCATTCTAACCTGTATTTGTTGGATGGTGGAGAATAAATTCCTTCCTATCTCACTTGCGAAATTTTCAAAAGCCTTTTGACAATAATCATTTTGTGANTTTTTTGTTGTACTTTAAGTAAACCTAGTCTTAGGTATGCACCTGTGCAAATGTACTGACACACTGCACGACACAGCAGATTTCCTAACAGCAAGTGTGACATTTAGTTTCCATTATTAAAATACTGTGAATGTATTTTGCTGTTTCTCATAATGTAATATCTTAAAATATCTTACTCAATATGTACTGAAAGAATAAACCATTTTTTTTAACTGTTCATTTTCCGTAGGCCAAAACAGTGATGAAGAGTCCTATGAGGTACTTGATCTGACAGAGTATGCAAGACGACATCAGTGGTGGGGTCGTGTTTTTGGGCACAATTCTGGACCAATTGCAGAGAAATATTCCATAGCTACTCAGATAATGATGGGTGGTGTAACTGGCTGGTAAGTGTACATTCCAACACACATTATAAAAGCTATCCAGAAATACTATTAGATTCCAGACCCATACAAATCAAAGGAGATCAGCTTTGGTCATGCATATTTCAAACCAAAGGTGCTATTGCGCCACTCCTAGCAATTATCACAAATCAGTGGAGATGTAATTGACAGATGGAGACAATAAAGGTAGATAACTTAGTTAAATACACTTAAGTGTATTTGATTTGATTTAAAAGGAATATTGAGAACTTGTATTTCCTAATTTGCAGGTGTGCAGGTTTTGTATTTCAGAAGATTGGAAAGCTAGCAGCGACAGCCATTGGTGGTGGCTTTTTTTTGCTACAGGTAAATTAATGAATGCATGTTGATTTGAAATGTAATTTACAATTGTTCAAAAAGAAAGGCTTCTATCAAGCTAGATGCTGTTCCCATCTCCTTCCCAGTTGGAATTTTTTGTTAAATATTCTTTAACAAAACCTATTTACCTCGCAGTAAGTGGGAACCTGGTTTGTAGTCAATTGACAAGATTGATTTTCCGGGGTAATAATTCCTTAAAAAAAATTGGTCACTTCAATCCACGATTTTGTTGGACACTGCTGTGAACAATTGGCTGCTGTGATTCTGCCACAAAATATACAGTCAATTCACTTCACAGTATATTCTGTGAAGCGCTTTGAGAAGTCTCAAAGACGCAATAAGGCACTATATCAAATGCAAGTATTGTTGGTTCACTGTTTGAAGATTTAATGAGGTGGAATATGGGGTGATTGTCGCCTTTATTTAAATAGTAGATTGGCATCAATGCAGTATCAGATATTGCAACTAAAATGATTGGTACATCTGATTTGTAGTTGTCAGCCATTTATTAATCATTTCATTGACTATGGATTGCACCTTCCTCTGATCGCTTATGCGTCGTTTTTGCGTATCTTTAAATAGGGATATTTAAGTAGTATGTTACATAATTCTTTAGTTTATTCACTGAACCTGAGTTTAGATTTAACAAAGCTATTTTTATGAAAAAGTTGTCATCTTTCTGCTCATGTAAAGTATTTTGCAATGCAAGTACACAACATGTTGGCTTACAGCAGTAATTCAGAAATGTATTGGACATGAGGGAAAGTCCCCAATTTGCTAATATGTAACTGTTTCTCAGGTTGCTAATCATAGTGGCTATGTAAAAGTGGACTGGAAAAGAGTTGAAAAAGATGTAAACAGAGCCAAACGGCAGTTGAAAAAGAAAGCAAATAAAGCTGCACCTGAAATCAACAATTTAATTGAAGAGGTGAGAAAAGTGTACCTAGAAATTATGAATTTGTTTAAAATGCATCAATGTTTTCTTTATAGATGTCTTGCCCACGTTTGCCATTCTACCAATTTCTGCAATTTATTGCACGGAAGAGCCCCCATTCGATTCTGTGCAGCTCCACATTTAAGCCCCAATACAATGGAGTAACCTGCATTGATAAACTTGAATTTATTCTGACTTGTATTGGACAAGAAAGAAATATCTTACCACTGTATTTTGTTTAAGAAATATTTCAGTGCGTCGAGCCACTCTTCTGTTAAACGCACCATAATGAAGGGCACTGTGTAAATGTGTGTTATTGAATATTTTATCCTTCTGACCAATTTTAGGTGGCAGAGAAAATAATTTATAGTGTTAAAATAGTATGAAACCATATTTTTATTGACTGCATTATTTTACATATTTTAAGAAATGGCTCCTTGGATACCTGTGTAAATATTTTACTTGTGCTAACTGATGACAAATACACTTCTTTAGAACTGAAGTACAGTTTAAGATCTTTGGGAATTTGCAGTGAACGAACAAAAACAAAATTCCCTTGAGGGTTTACTTTTTAATTCAATAGATTTTAAACTTGCACCTTTAACCCTAGTCTCTACCACCCTAAAACTAGTCTGAAGAACACTAACATATTAAGAAACTAATGAAACAAAACTATTGCATACTTATTGCAAACATTATTAGCAATTCAACTATTAATTAATCTTCTAATTTAACATGTGATCTCATGCAGCAGGTTTCCCCATGGTATGAGTCCTGTTATATATGCCAATATTCTAATATAAGTAAAATCCATGCTTGAGTCACATCATTATCACTTAAATATTTAATGTATATTTTTCCACAGTCATCGGAATTTATAAAGAGGAATATTGTGCTGGCTAGCGGTTTCGTTGGAGGATTCTTATTGGGACTGGCTTCCTAAAGATTCTTGCCTCCCATTTTCTGAAGACTGGAACCTACATAACTGCAATAATGAAGATCAAGCTTGCAGTTTCATTCTGAAAGTGGGAAACGCTGTACGAGCACAACTAGTACGTCAAATAGCCCACTAGAGTCACACATTCAGAGAGTTTACCTCTAGTGCGCGATGGATTACGTTTTGAAAGGACACAAAAATGTATCCTGTATTTGCAAGTTTAGGTTTGGTTCATTAAGCTCTGGATCGATTTTGACATGTTCTAGGTTTACATTATCAAGAAAGGCTTTACATTTTCTCCTTTTTTATATATTATATATATTGTATAGTGATGCCAGTTATATGTATAGTATTAATTTATGTGATGTAACTTAGCAAATGCAGAGCAAACCATGTAAATGTTGTCTTACATTGGACAACTCATCAAGCATACTACTAAGATTCATTAGAAAATGGATCTTAAAACCTGAAAGGACAAACTACTGTAATCAAGTCCAATAACTTCTCTACCTTGATGCAGCCAATTGTCTGAAAAGTTCAAAAAACATCTTAAATTGTATAAAAACAATTAAAATATGATTTAAATCATCCACTGTACTTCTAATATCCCATCTGATTTTGCCAGTCAGAAAATATTAAGAAGCTTGGGATGGTCTCATTTTAGTCTGGTTTTGGTATAACTTTCTTTCTGATAAACAACTCCATTCTAATTCCAGTGGCAGCTTTCTACAGTGCTCTTACGTATAGAAATCTTGAATACTAAGCTTTGCTTTTATTTTTGGCTTTAACTATCTGATAAATTATTGGCTTTGTAAGTTCATTATGGGTGATATTCTAAAAGAGCATGAACAATGAATCTCTTGAGAAATTAGTTAGTTAAAATTAATAATTTTAATTTTAAAATTTAATAAATCTAGTTAGTTTTAAAATAAAGGTAAATATTCAACTGATTGTTTTGCTTTGCCCTTAATAACCAGTCAGTAGAAAGTGTGCAGTATTTCCCATTCCAATCAATAGAGAAATCTTTTTGTCAGTTTGGAACATCATAACCACATAGCCAAGTTCAGAATTGTTTAGTGAGCTGCAAAAGCCACCCTGCATCATGCACTCTGGTATAGTGCATTGGCAAACATGTGCCACCATACCAACTAGGTGCCAATATTAGTTAAGAACTAAGATGGTTGAGGAAAAACTAAAATAATCTGTTGTACTATGCAATGTATTGGTACTCTGATGTGTCATGCTGCAGTGTCAAGAATGCTGATTTGCATCCATGATTATTGACGAGGGTAAGTTCCTGATTTTGACCCCTTTAGAGAGGAGGAAAAGTCAGAACCTTAATTACCTTGAGATGCTGATGTATAACAACATTTTCCAAGACATTATTTAATTTAGGAGCCAAATGCTAACCATGCAGTCTTCTCTATCTCATCAAGACTATATATATCATGTCCATACATTGCCATGTTATCTACAAATGTCTAAACTGTAAATGACAATTTGTAAAAAATACAATATAAAGTGCTTTCTCCATTTTTGTTCTGTTTGTTGTGATGTGGGCGTTGGCTTTTCTTTCAGTTTATCAACCATAGACAACAGTGCTCAAGATAAGATAACACCCCCAAAACCTATCTCTTCCCCGACCCCTCCCCCCGGCCTGGTTTTGGACTTAGTAAAAGGGAGCAAGCCTTGGTAAGACCTGATCTGGTGGTCCCAAATCTTCATCACCACCACAAAAGGGTTGTTGCTATGACAAGTCGCTGGGAGTCGAGCAGTTATGACAGTGCAGGTTTTCCTTTCTCCTTAGGAGCTGCATGATTTAAATGTGTTTTACTTGTTTTTTCAATATCATCCAATGAACTTTTTGCATGAGAGACCTTTTCAGGCAGACCTACAATGTAACATTTGACCTGAAGATTCAAGAAGAAGTACAGTTAATCAGTTCTCCATAGGTTTCATCGTATTCTTTAACCTCTAGTTACTTAGCACCGGAGTACAGAGAATTCCTGACAAAGCAAGGTGGTCCCTATTTTCTAATATCTGTTAATGGAGTCTTTTCTGCAAAGGGTAAAGAAAGACCCATAGTGCTTAACATTAGAGACCTGAAAAAGGGAAGCCGAAAAATAAACTTACTTGGGAAAACGAGAATTGTTTACTTTAGCCTGTCACCCCCATCCTTGCCTGATTCCACTGGCTTCCCATCACACAGGATACAGTTCAAGCTTCTGTTTCTCACCTTCAAAGCCCTCCATGGTCTTGCTTCTCCCCCCCCCCCCCCCCCACCTTGCGACCTCTTACCATCCTGCCCGCTCTCCGCTCAGCAGGCTTTGTCCTGCTTCACGTCCCCCGCCTCGCCCGCCCCACCATTGGCAGGCTGGTCTTCTGCCACTCTACCCCCACCCTCTGGAACTCTATCCCGAAGTCTATCCGCCTCACCCCCTCCCTTGCCTCCTTCAAGACCCATCTCAAGACCCTCCTCTTCGATTTTACTTTCAATCACCCTGCTGAAACTAAAGAGAAGCGAGATCATGACGAGATCTATTTTGGCTAATTAGGAGAATTAGTTAAATGTTAGTTGCAATAATTACTGCTTCCATAATCACAAGATTTTTTAAATTCCACTCTTGTTGACAATATTTCATTGTAGAAATTTCTGTATACCTTGCTTAAAAATTTTCCTGTGTGGTCTGCAGAATAGGTGACAATCGAGTACAGTAAACCTTGGTATCAGTTGGGATCATGCATTTAATATGACGTATGCAAAGTATGAATTATGTGAAACTTGCATAAGTTGTATTATATAATTGATGTGAAGTTATGTATAAATTAGATTTTATGACTTGCATGTAAATTGTATTAGTTGAGACCATAATATTTAATATGACTTGTGCAAAGTATGAGTTCTAGGCAAACTTGCATAAGTCGTATAAAATCTGATATACTAAACAATCTACACTGCACATGGTTACTTCAATACAGGCGGTAAATGCGCTTGATGCAACAGGTCAGCACTTCATTTCCTGTGATTCAATGCAGCCGGTTAAGAATGCGTTGAGGCATTACAATTTAGGAGATGATTTGCTTCATAAATTACAACTAGCGCAAAGAAATTCAGTGGTTTTGGGCAGGAAACTGAATGGTACTCGGTGCATGTATGACTTAGATGATTATCTGATTTATAAAGATTAGTGAAGATACTTCTGCAGGTTTTACTGTACCCAAGCACCGAACTGGCTGTTAACATTAAGGCAAGGTTTCTGTACCATGTTTAACCCATGCATATTAAAGGTATAGTAACCCATTCTTTCCATATACAGTACTACACAGTACTGTACTTCATGTGCAGAAATTATGTATTGTACAATGAATGGCACAACCAATTAGGTTTCAAAATAGACTGTTTTAATAGTTGGGATATCTGCATTACCTGGTGCCATGATTACTGGTTAAAACTCATCATACATAAGATGTTTGTAAGACAAAACCTTGTCTTACATATATATGATACAACATAATAATCCTTGCATTTGATATAGCACCTTATGTCTTCGAGACATCTCAAATGGCTTCACAGAATATACTGTAAAGTGAACTGACTGTATATTTTGTGGGCAAAATGCGGCAGCCAATTGTGCACAGCAGTGTCTCACAAACAGTCGTAGATTGAGTGATCCAATTTATTATTATTTTGTCTTAAGGAATTATTACCCCCGGAAAAGTGTTTCGCTTATCGACTATCAACCGGGTTCCTACTTACTGCTAGGTAAACAGAGTCGAACCCAGGTCACCCACTTGCTCTAACCATTGTGGTCGGAGTGCTCTAACCACTGAGCTACAGGATTACAGCATTGTCAGAATTCAAGGTGCCGTCCTTCAAATGAGAGATTAAATCATGCTCCTGTCTACCTGTTCAATGTATTTTAAAGATCCCATGATACTATTTGAAAAAAGAAGGGAGATTCTCCTGGTACTCCAGCCAATAAACCCCACAAATAAAATTGGTCTCTCGCTGCTTGGCAATTTGTGGGACATTGCAGTGCAGAAACTGGCTGCTGCGTTTCACCCACAAAATACACAGTCAATCCAATTTATATCCTGCGCTTTGAGAGCTCTTGAAAATGTATCAAATGCAAGGATTAATTTAATGTATAGACACATGTACACAATACAAGGGGGAATTAAATATTGTCATCTAATTCTGATATTCTTTTAGAACCAATTCATGGAGTTCAGGTGGTTTCATAAGGGTCACATAATTGATTACTAATAATTCTTGTGTACCTAATTAGTCATCTACTTTTATTGTGCTGGCTGAACCAAGTGTAAAAGATGAGGAAAAAACATGGGGCAGCTCTACTCAATTGCATTATGGTTATTACAACCAAAAATACAAAATTACTTTTCAGGTAAAGGCTTTTTTTTTGCAAATATGACCATAGAATTTAATATATGAACTGAAATTATTTTCTATCATTGTGTGAAGCTACACCTCAAAACAAATTACCAGTGATAATGCAATATATAAAACATTAACAGTGAAGGCAAAACATATATGGCTTGGCTCAGATCTGGGGATAATTGGTGGGGGGTGGGCGAGTCTTACGAGTCTCCTTTTCATTGTTTTCCTGTTCAACATCTTTGACGTCAAATTGGGAATAACATTTTGAAGTGGAAGAGATTGAGAAAATTCTCAACCCATCTAAAAACATTAATAAAAATACGTTCCACATAACAAATAAAACTCACTAGCTATTTACAACCAGTTTGACATTTTTATATGCTGAAATATATCTGTTTTCCTATGCAATATTTAAAGTCAGGAATATGGTTTAAAGTGCAGTGTTGCTGTGGTCATATAAAAACTCATACTTACTGATTTAGCAGAGAGCAGTGTTTATTAACTATTAATGCTACACTAATATACAGACTACTCAGGGTCTCAAAACACTATTTTAGAAGTCATCAATTCAGATTTGAAAAGAATAAATAATAATAATAATAATAATCCTTGCATTTGATATAGCGCTTTTCACGTCGGGAGGACATCCCAAAGCGCTTCACAGAACACACTGTAAAGTGAATTGACTGTATATTTGTGGGCGAACGCGGCAGCCAATTGCGCACAGCAATGTCCCACAAACAGTCATGGATTGAAAATGACCAATTTATTATTGTTTTTTTTGAGGGATTATTATTAGGAGTGTGGAGTAAGGAAACTTGCCCAAGGTTTCGCTTTGCCTGGAATTGAACTCAGGTCTCTCACTTGCAAAGCGAGTGCTCTAACCACTGAGCTACAGGACTCCACAAGAAATATTTTCTTCTCCCAAGTATGCACCACATTCAGCGCATACTCTGTGATCTTGGACCATAAACTAAGTGCTTGGACTAGTTGTTAACAATTTCTCCAGACTAGAATTCTACAGATTGTGGTTATCAAAAATAATTGGAATACATTGTTCAGGAAGAGATCAGCACTTTTCAGATTGGCCTCAACAATAGTACATGCTAAACTTTTTGGAACATTACAAATTTTGTTTGGGTCAGCCAGGTGTCTGATGCATATGGAAACTAATGCCGTGTTTTAAGAATATCTAAACCAGAGTTTGACATATGTATACCACATACCCATGGAAATCTGTGCGTTTATAATGGGACACAATCTCTCCCCAGAGGGATGCACCCTCCTTACCTAATTCTGGAGAGTATTGGGCTAAATTTGGTGACAGCCGAGGCTCGATTTCAGGATCCTCACACTAGTTTTCAAACCCCTTCATGCCCTGGCACCCGCGACTTGACTTTCCCTCCTGCCCTCCGTTCCACCCGTGATGGTTGCGCTTTCAGCCACTACACCCCTAAACTCTGGAACACTCTTCCTCTATCCCTCCCCTTGCCCCTTGCTTCCCCATCTGCAGGTTGCGCCTGAAGACCTTCCTATCTGACCGTGCCCAGGGTCACCTCCCCCCGGCTCAGCGTCACGCTCAGTCGCTGTCAAGGACCCTGCGTGAGGGGTACTATGTAAGTTATTGTTGGGGTAGAAAGGGTGGGGCTCTGAGGAATGTGTTGTGGTGTTGCTGGAGTTTCACAGCAAACCTATAACATATTGCTATTTAAAGACCAGGTAGAATATAACGATAAAGCAATCGAGGTGGGGAACAGTGAGAGTAGGCGTAACAGACAGAGCTGTTGGGGTGGGGGAGAGCGGTAAAGAACCGATGCCCTTCTCAACATGGCGTCCGCTTGTCCCGCTGGATCCGCCTCTCCCGCGTGCGGTGACGTGGCAGCCGCGGCCCCGGGACAGTCACACTAAGATCTCGCGATGCTGCTCTTGTGACCGTAACCGGGGCAACGGGGGAGCACAACAACGCTGTGTTCCTCACACCGCTGTGAGCAGCGGCGGCGGCGGCGCCATGACCTTACCGCTCTTACCCGGGAACACCTTCAACAGGAACGTGAGTTCGCCCCTTAAAATCGCTCTTCTGGGCACTTTGTGCAGATATCATAATAATAATCCTTGCATTTGATATAGCGCGTTTCACGTCGGGAGGACGTCCCAAAGCGCTTCACAGAACACATTGTAAAGTGAATTGACTGTATATTTGTGGGTGAACGCGGCAGCCAATTGCGCACAGCAATGTCCCACAAACAGTCGTAGATTGAAAATGACCAATTTATTATTGTTTTTGGTTTTGGAGGGATTATTATTAGGCTCTGTGTGGAGTAAGGAAACTTGCCCGAGGTTTCGCCCTGTGCCTGGAATTGAACTCAGGTCTCTCGCTTGCAAAGCGAGTGCTCTAACCACTGAGCTACAGGACTCCACACACACCCGCACTCACGCAATGTAACTTTTTTTTAAAAAAACTGGTGTTTTGTGATACTGTATTGTCAGTGCTCTGCAACATGACCAGAGGAGGGGACAGAGACCCACCAGTTCTTACAGCTCACGGAAACATCCAGATAGGAGAGCATCATTTTAACAGCCATCGTGGAAAAGTTATTGAAGCTCATTACAACAAACCCCCCCTCCTCCCCTCACCCCTCCCCCAAACCCTGACAACATATATGTAGGAAGAGGAATAATAACACCAATTCGAAGACAGCGGAGTTTGTTGAAACTCTTTGAATATATTAAAACACTGGATGCCCTGTAAAGGAGATCCTTACATTATACTTCTTAAAATTTCATAAAGCTATTGATTTCTTAGATTTTAGAAAGTCCTTCAGAGAAGACTTGTGGCAAAAGCAGTTGATTATAAAGGAGATTGAAAATCAAGTGATAAATCGTCAGAAAGAGATAGGTATTAATGGACATACTTCTAATTGAGTGGCTGTCAAAAGTGAAAAACAGCAGCAATTTGTGCTAGCACCATTATGTATTTTTATAATATGAAGAAATGATTTTGAGAAAGTTGTGGCAAATAAAGCATGGAAATATGCAGATAATACTATTATGTGAGTAGTCTGAGAAAAGAACAAAATTGAAGGTAATCTTCAAAGACTTAGCAACTCGATAGATGGATGAAAGCATTAATATTGAGAAATGCAAATTAATAGGTGCCAACGAAATTAGAGCATGAGATTCTCCATGAGATTATTATTTGTAATCAATAGAGTTAACATTTTGCACTCTTGCTTTGGTAATATGTATTAAAACCAGTTTAAAATGCCAGTGAATATTGATATTCTCTCAGCACTAGTACTTGTTTCTTTATTTACTTCTTTTAGTTAGGAAAGGAGAAATTTCATAAATCTCATCACTTTGACTTCCCAAATGGAGTCCCTACAATAGTGGGAGATGAAAAGCCTGGCATTGGTGGGGAGCCATTGGTGGGTCAAAAGCTGAAAATCAGACACAGTGTCTTTCCAAAGGGACAAGGAACTGATGCCCCAGCATGGGTAGCCTTTGATAAACAGGTATGTTTCCACTGCTTTTTTAGATTATAGTACCGTAAACAAAATCTGAATGTTATATGCCTTTTTTCTATACTTTCCCAGCTCCACCTCCTTGCCCTCCTACTCACAGACATCATAAACCTCTCCCCATCCACTGGCACCTTTCTCACCCCTTTAAAAACGGCTGTCATCACTCTTATCCTTAAAAAAAACCCTCCCTGGACCCATCCGTGCTCTCAAACTACTGCCCCATCTCCAATCTCCCAAAATTGTGAGGTGTTGAATTTCGGGATATTTTAAAAGTTTATTTTACCTTCCCATGGTTCAGTGAGTAATTGCACTATGTGGTGCATTACTGAGCCATACATACCAGAAAGGATGGAAATTCAGTGGCTGGTGTGCATTAACACATCAAAACTGGCATGGCAATGAGTGCATTACAGTTTCCCAGGGTAGGGAAAGAGAAGTATCAACCAGGTGACCTTGACTAAGTTCAAAAATATGGTCATTAAGGACAGTATCAGGATCAGTTTGATGGCATCACACAGTTTAATAACCACTGATGCTCATTTGACCACTTAATCAAGGTACTTATAACGAGAGGTTACCAATACCAGTGGAATTATTGTCAGGAGGAAACCATCATTCCCAATAATGACATAGAAGTCTCCTTTCTATTAACTGCAATGGCACTATATTAAGTAAATCTCAGTCAGTTTCTAATGGGAAGAAGTCCACATCACAAAACAAGATATATTTTGGTACTATTTAACTTAAGTTAGCATTGAAGATTTGGCGAGGGATCTGGAAATGTCGTGAGTAAACAGTAATACGAGGTTGGAGTTCCTGAAGTATTATGATGAGTGAACAGCATTATGAGGTTAAAGTTCCTGAAGTATTGTAGAGCATTCTTTACCTACATTGGAATTCAATCCAAATACTTGGTTTTGACTACATCACATTCATTAAAACATGATTGCATTTAAACACAATTACTAGAAACCTAAGGCTTCAGATTTAGAAGACATCAATCAATTATTTTAATTCTCCAATAGGTTCTTAACTTTCAAGCCTATTTTCAAGAGGCAGTTCAAGAGAAGAGAGAAGAACGCTATCGAATAAGAAAAGTCAAAATCTACTTCTATCTGGAGGATGATACAATCCAGGTTATTGAACCAGAAGTGAAAAACAGTGGCATCCCTCAAGGTATTGTAATTTCTTTTAAAGAACTGCATAACTGCATCACAAAACTTAAATATTTTTTTCATAATATTCACTTTCATTTATTACTCGTTCAGTTTCTTATTCTACTCTCGTCAGAGCATTATGGCCTTTTTTTGCCATATATTTATTTTTTCCTACTAAGAATCAGAAATCAGACGAAGATTCACAGCTCCTCTATAACAGCAGCCTGTCCCAGAAGTATTCACATTGAAAGCAATGCAATTAATAGCTTCGGTGGGAGAGGTAAACAGTAACACAGTAAATATGGAGCCTCAGTTACATCATTTCCCTATAATTCTTAGTAGAAAGAAAACTATCATGAAAGCCAAGTGGCCTAGAGTGCTTTGAACAAAGGAAAAAAATAAAATTCAGTAACGGATAGCTCAGACCAAATTACTAATGATTACTGTTGAGAAAAATATTTTAAAATACTGCAGGACTGACAATTTGTGCTGGGATAAGAACATATAACAACAACAAAGTTACATTTATATAGCACCTTTCACGGTGGGAGGATGTTCCAAGGCGCTAGATCATCAGTGTTTTGGACCTGAGCTGGGATCAGGGAGGGTGGAGGGCAGGTGGGGAAGGAGGGTGACTGAAGGCACGGTCGAAGAGGAGGGTCTTGAGATGGGTCTTGAAGGAAGCAATGTAGGGGGCGAGGCAGAGAAACTGCAGGGTGGAGTTCCAGAGGGTGGGGCAGAGTGGCAGAACACCTGCCCGCCAATGGTAGGGCTGGCGAGCTGGGGGAAGCAGGTCGGAGCCCACTGAGCGGAGGGAGCAGGCAGGTTAGTAGGGGGTTAGGAGGTCGCAGAGGTAGGAGGGAGCAAGACCACGGAGGTCTTTGGAGGTGAGGACCAGGATCTTGAACTGTATCCTCTGTATGATGGGAAGCCAGTGGAATTGAGCGAGGATGTCAGTGATTGAGTCACGGAGCCTGGTGCAGGTGAGAACATGGGCTGTAGAGTTCAGGATGATCTGCAGCCTATGAAGGATGGAGATGGCGAGGCTGATAAGCAGGGAGTTTGTGTAGTCAAGCCTGGATGTTGTGAATGCATGTATGCGGGTCTTGGCGGCCTGCGGTGTGAGACAGTGGTGGAGCCGGGGGATGTTGTGGAGTTGGGGGAAGGCAGAGCGGGTCATGGCACGAGTATGGGGTAGAAAGGATAGTTGAGGGTCAAGCAAGATGCCAAGGTTCTGGACTGGCTTAGTAAGGTGGAATGTGCATCCTTGGATGGTGATGCTGACCGTGCTTGAGGTGTGGAGGCGGTGATGGGAGCCAATCAGGAGGGCTTCAGTCTTGTTAATGTTCAACTGAAGAAAGTTAGCTCTCATCCAGGATTTGATGTCTGAAAGACATTCTGTCAGGACAGCAGTGGTCCTGGAGTCGAGGGTGAAGGCAGAGAGATAGAGTTGGATGTCACCCGCATAACATGTGAAAATTGATCCCATGTTTGTGGATGATGTCATCAAGAGGGAGCACATAAATATTGAAAAGGAGGGGTCCAAGGACAGAGTCCTGAGGAACTCCGCATGAGATGGTGTAGAGGCTAGAGGAGAAGCCATTTGTGGAGATGAAGTGGAGAGAGTGTGAGAGATAAGATCTGAAATATTAAAGGACAGCACCATGAAGGTTGAGGTGAGAGGAAAGGCGTTGGAGGAGGATGGAGTGGTCAACGGTATCAAAGGCAGCAGAGAAGTCTAGGAGGATGAGGAGGCAAAGGGAGCCCTAGTTGCAGATGGACAAATTGTCATCTGTCATTTTGACCAGAGCTGTTTCTCTGCTGTGGGCAGCATGGCAACCTGATTGGAGAGATTTGTGAAGGGAGTGGCGGGAGAGGAAGGAGTGAAGGCTGGGAAGCAATGGCTCGTTCCAGGACCTTGGAAAGGAAAGGGAGGTTGGAGATGGGGTGCTAGTTTGAGAGCAGGGGTGGTCCAGGATGTTTTTTAAGGATAAGAGTGATAACAGCCGTTTTTAAAGGGGTGGAAAAGGTGCCAGTGGATGAAGACAGGTTTATGACATCTGTGAGGAGGGGGGGGCAAGGAGGTGGAGCTAGGAAAATATAGAATAAAAAAGGCGTATAACATTCATCCTTACCCAAACATTCTGTGGGATGAACCCCACTTATTTCATCTCCTGAGAGAAAATTTCTTCATGACTCCCAAAAATAATTGACAAATCTATTTATGTATTCTTAATCTTCTATTTCCCATGCAGATTGGATTTTAAGGGACCTAGTAACACAGTAGTCGGAGGTTCGATGAACATTTGATCATCTCTGACTACGTATCCCTATAATTTGCAATCCCACTACTTCCAACTGGTTTTGAAGGAGTCAACAATAACAACTTACATTTATATAGCACCCTTCATGTGGGGCAGCTTCTCAGAGAGTTTTAACTGGCATAACATTAACTATGTTTGCAAGAGCTACCCCTATCACACCAGTTCTTGCCAGGCTCCACTGACTCCCAATTACAGAACGGATCGATTTTAAGATCCTCTCACTCATTTTCAACTTCCTTCATGTCCTTGCACGTCCTTACCTATCAGATCTGCTTATCCCCCACTTCACCACCCGCTGCCTCCACTCTGCTGGCTCCAGCCTCCTGTTTGTCCCTCATCCCCTCCACTACACCATTGGATACTACATCCTTTTTCAATCCACGACTGTTTGTGGGACATTGCTGTGCGCAATTGGCTGCTGCGTTCGCCCACAAATATACAGTCAATTCACTTTACAGTGTGTTCTGTGAAGCGCTTTGGGACGTCCTCCCGACGTGAAAAGAGCTATATCAAATGCAAGGATTATTATTATTATCCTGAAGCTCTGGAATGCTCTCCCTCAATCCCTCCGCCTTGCGCCCTCCCTCCCCACTTTCAATTCCCGCCGAAAGACCTTCCTTTTTGATTGTGCTTATAGTCACCTTCCCCCCTCCCTCTCCCCTTGGCTCGATATCAGACTTCGCTACAGTCAAGCTATCCAGGATGCTACTGTGCGGGAAGGGCACTATATAAATGTAACTTGTTTTTATATATTCTCCACTAAAATAAAGTTTTTTTTAAATGAAATGTGGTCTCACTAGAGACATACTATTTCAGTATTTGTCTTCAGTTCTCCATTCAAGGTTTGACGTACAAAGCCTGGTTACATTTACATTATTTTTCTTAGCATTTTAAAATCTGGAATCCTGTTCTTTTTCAAACATTTTTCTAAAAAAGAACCAGTTCCAGTCTCTCTCGTAATCTAATACAGACCTTCAATTATTCTCTCTCCTCTCTGAAACCTCTTCAAAATGTTAGTGTTCTAAAGATAAAGTGTCCAAAATTGCTCAATATGCCTCAACTGTAATCCACACAGAGCTAAAATAAGTTATTTTGATTTATAATCAAATGACAAAATCATTATGTGATTAGGCTTGTTGATATTGCTTCATTTAATACTGGGTCTTAATTCTGGTGCCCAGTTTTCAATTATAACACCAAAAGTACAAATTTCATTAGTAGGTAATACATTTGATGCATTTTGATGGTTATTAGTCTCAAATAAAATTCCTGTGAAATGCTTTGAGATGTCTTGATATATTAAAATCATAAATAATATATTATCAATATAATCTTACAAACTTGTTTTTGAAAATTATACTTCTGATCACTTATCCACTAATATTCAAAGTGTATCCTCAAGTAGGTTTTGTTTCTACAATAAGGGATCTGAAACTGATTGAAGTACTTTGATATAATTTGGTCTTTAATTGACTTTCTGCACTTTATGTGCTTAAAACTTTAAGATTGTTGTACTATCGCCACATTAATAAAGAAATAAAACTTCCAAATAAATGTTAATTTGCAATCTTCTTTCTTTTTTGATTAATATGTGCATCCGTGAACAATAATAAGCGCTCAAATACCCTTGAGGCATCCTTCAGCACAAATTGCTATAGTAAATATCTCTGAACATACACATATATTTTTAAACTTTTGAAAAAATAATTAAACCATTTAGAAAAATAAAGTTTTTAAAAAAAATTATAGATTGATGAGAAGAAAGAACATAGATTTTTATGCCTTATTTACATTGAAACATCTCAAAGGACTTCACAGTTCCTTTTAGCCAAGTGCAAATATGACTGTTTTAATTGGCAAATGGGGCTACGATTTATGCCAGCAAGATCCGGCAAACAGCTATGAGGTGAATGACCAATTAATCTGGAGAATTGTTTGCCATTCAGCATTAAGAATGAATTGAGAATTATTTAGAATTATGACATGAGTTATAAGTGTTTCATCATAAGAATACTGACATATTTGTTTCCTTACTGTATCCACACCACTCACACTAACTCTTTGGGAAAGCTCTGTTGGATACTACTACTTTCTAAATCTAATCAAAGCAAAAAATCCATCAGATTCTCCCCTGGACAACCATATCAAGAGCATTCTGATTCCAGCACCAGATCTCAGACTGTCCTGAATGAACCATTAATTTCTCAGTTTACAATCTGACATATTTTCCAGTTTCTGTCTTGAAGTCCCAGCATTTGCTTTTGACTGATAACCCTCCATTAAAACGTTAAGCTATTTTTGCTCATACTAAGAACACTGGAGTAGCCTATCTTTCACTGGAGAGCAAGAATAAGATGGCTGATGATGCCTTACAGGTCCACACTCAAAACTATTCCTTTGGTTCTCATCTATACCACTAGATGGCACACTCCAATACTCTCCATTCCAAGAACAGTAAAACCTTGAACACATGGACTTCTCAATCATCAACAACCATCAGGAAACAGTAGAGATGTCTGTAGCTGTAGACATGTCCAGTTTTTGATTTGACCAATTTTCAAATTTGAAAGGGGATTCTTTTGTTTAATAAAATGATGGAATGGTGATTATCTTTGTGAATAAAGTTGATTAAGTGCATGGCAGGTCTGTTGCTGACCAAATTATTAAATCTCAAAATCACAAATGGTTGATGAGCTATTTACTTCTGGGAGAGAGTGGCAGCTTGGAAGAACATTTGATCAGGAAATGAATAGGATGAGTTGAATGGATTGATTGCACATAGTATGTGGAGGAATGGCCTTTGCATACTTTTCTTATAAAAATTGTATCACAAAGATTTTCATTGTAGCAGGTTGAGCATCTGTAACAGTTTGAAATCAACCACATAAACAAATTAACATTGGCTTCCAGCAACTGAGTCTTTGCACATACTCCCATCACCACAAGAATTTCTCTTTAAAAATATTGTTACTCAGTCTCTTTTCTTTCACTCTTTATATTTACTTACAGTTTATCCCTCTATCTTTTCAGTGTTATCTATATTTCTGTCACTTTTTCAGACAAAGTCCATCTTACTGACTTCATGATATCCACTAAGTGGACATGATGGAGACATAGGAAAAAATTGTGAAACAGGACAAATTACAGTCAGTAATCTAAGGCTTCACTTCTTGTTACAGGAACCTTAATCCGGCGTCACCGTATACCACTTCCATTCCCAAATGAAGACATGTACTATACAGTGGATCATTTCAATATCAATCAAGAAATTGTTTTCTACTCAAGGACATTTATGATCACAGATTGTGATGCATTCACCAAAAATTTTCTGCGGAAAATGGGTGCCCGAGTGAATCCACCTGCTTGTGTTCCTGAAGATCCTTACAATGAAAAGCGTGAAGAAGTAAGTACAATGTGCTGTTGTGTTTACCAGCAGATATTGTTATTTCATTTTTTTAAATGTTTAACGTTTTTTGAAGCAAAACCTGAGCAAGATTACCAATTTAGTGCTGAATAGGAATGAGTTTGAGGAGTGTTTCTACTTTGGCATCATTCTATTGAATTGAGGCTCATTTGATTTACATTAAACAAACAAACAAACAAAACTTTTCAGCTGAATAGATAGCACAACTGAAGCCAAAGCTAAACCAGGACCCTCAGATCCAATGACAGTGAAAAATAATGAAGATTGTTATTTTGTTTGTTGAATACATTACAATCCTATTTTTTGCAATGCACATTTGTAGTTATGCAATAAAAACAGAAGTCACTGGGAACACTCAGCAGGTCAGGCAGCATCTATGGAGAAAGGAAAGTGAGTCAACGTTTCAGGTACACAATCCTTTGTCAGAACTGGGGCATGTTGGGAGGGAGAGGCTTTTAAGGGCTAACAGAGATGGGGGAGGCAGGGCAAGGAAGACAAAGGAGAAAATGGGGTAGCGGACAGGGGATGATGGGTTAAAGAGGTATCAATAATGCAAAACAAAGGGAGGGATTGCAACAAAAAAGGGGAAAGAGATGTTAATAATGCAAAACAAAGGAGGGTGGGGGGTTGGGGAATTGCAACAAAACAGGCAGACCAGAGAAAAAAAGGGTGTCTGGGTCCCAGATGAACCCCCCCCCCCCCCCCCCTTTGTTTTGGATAATAGGTTGGGTGGAACGCTGCCTTGTACATTTAAGGTTCTGTTCAATAAGAAGCTTTGTATTCTGAAGAGAGAAGAGATTTTGGAGAACAAAGATTTAAGTTTAGTTACAAGTGGTGCATTAATTAGATTATGCTTTTTACCAAGTCTAAAATTATCTAGGGCAAGATAGGGCCAGGGCAAGTTGTGGGATCATACCTTGAGATTTGCTTTCCTGAAAATTAAAATTCAGTGAAATCTTTAATCACCCTAATTACTGATGTTTCCACATTATAAAATGTGCCTGGTTTACATTATAGCATGTGTCTGGTTTACATTTTATAAACAAAATAAAACCAGTCTAAAAATAATAGACTGAATGCATGGTAATTCTGTGCATTAACCGAGATGTATTCCTTATTTTTTGTGCACTCTCTATGTTTTTCATAGTTAAGAAAAAACATGCAACCTCTCCGGCCATATGAGAAGTTGGACACACTCAGACAGTTCCTGGATCACGATACGCACGTGCTACGCTTTTACGGTTATTGGGATGACTCAGAGACCATGTTTGGAGACTTGAGGGAATTGGTCTTGCACTACTACCTTGCGGATGATACCATTGAGATTAGGGAGGTCATACTCCCGAATTCTGGCAGGGATGCTGTTAGCATATTTCTCCACCGAAGTCGACTACCAAAGGTACAATACACATTTATCACTAAATTGAAGGTGACATTGCCTGAGTCTTTTAATGGACTACAGCATATCAAAATTGTATTTTTCAAACTTATCTATTTTATTGTTGAAAGGTCTATTGGTATTATGTGGAGAGTGTCGCTGCTTTAAATCAGTGTAAATACACTGTTTGAAGGATCCGATACTACAATTTATGTTTGACATGGTTGCTTTGAGGTGAGATTTATGGAAAAGGCTTTCTTGAACAACTCCCCAATCCTCCACCCCTCATCCGCTGGTACACTGAGCTATGAGATAGTGAATATCAAATAAATTAACACAGCCGGTCAGGCTTTATTCAGGCATTGCTATCCGGCAAGATAGCAGGATAGAGCTTGATATAATTTTGGCTGTGAGCCCATGGTCATTGTGAACTACTTTTAGAGCTGCCAGATAATAATAATCCTTGCATTTTGATATAGCGCCTTATCACATTGTTAAGGTGTTTCAAAACCTTTCACAGGATATACTATATAGTGGATTGACTATGTACGTTGTGGGTGAAAAGTGGCAAACATTTACGCACATTAATATCCCACACATAGCAATGGAGTGCCCAGCAGTGTCAAGCACTTTGGAATGTCCTCCCAACATGAAAGGTGCTATATTAATATAAATTTGTATTGTATCACAGGACTTTGATCAGGAACATTTGTTCTGGCTGATGAAAACTATAGGGCCCCGTTTAACACCCTGGTCAGTAAATTCAGCACTGGTTATAAATCAAAGTTGGTACTTGTTACTTGTATGACTCTGCTGCACCCCATTTAAGCTTCTTAGCAATCAAAGGATCCATATAATAATATTAATAATAATCCTTGCATTTGATATAATACCTTATCACATTGTTGGGATGGCTCTCAGCTCGTCACAGAATCTACTGTAAAGTGGTTTGCACTGTATATTTTGTTGGTGAAACGCGACAGCCAGTTGAACACAGCAATGTACCACAGCGAACCATAGTGTGAATGACCAATTTTATTTTGCCGATTGTTGGCCAGGATACCAGGAGAAACTCACTGCTCTTTTTGAATAGTGCCATGGGATCTTTAACATCCATCTGAACAGGCAGATGGGAGTTAACAGGTTTAACATCTCACCTCTGATAAAGCAACAACCCCCAGCACTGCACTGGAGTGTCAGCTTAGACCATGTGATTCCATAGCTTGAACCCACAACCTTCTGACTCAGAGGTGAGAGTGCGACCATTGCTCCAGGCTGACACACAACTCAATCTACGTAGGATTCTTAGCCCAAAAGAAAGAGGATTTTCATCTCACTCGTTAGAGTTTCAAACTCATGTCCTGCTTGTCAAAATACAGTGACTAACCCATGTTCCAGTCCTTCCCCCCCCCCCACCCCCCACCCACATTGGATGATTGGTGATGCAATTTTAGGAGTTATAACTGCCATGCATTTGTTTTTGTTGTGATAGCTGATCAATCCTTGTAATGAGACTGCAATGCAGTGGTGGGAGGAGAAGGTGCATTATCTGAAGTGATACATTATCGAAAGAGCCACTCTTCAGATCAAACTTAAATCGAGATCTTATCTACATGTTCAGCGTGGACTTTAAAGTCTCTATGTCACTGTTTGAGAAGAAAGCTTTTCCGATGCTGTGGCCAACAATTCCCTAGATAAAATTGGTTTTGTGGCTGTTTGTGGCTATTACTAACTGTGAATTAGCTCTCACATTTGTCTACAAATACACTTTACAGAAAAAATACTGTGAAGTGTTTTGAGACATTTTGACAGAAAGGTGCTATATCAAATGTTAGGATTATTGTTTTCCCTCAGTGCCGTACTAGCAATCAGTATTGTAGCTCTCTACTGCTGCATCTTGTTTAATTAAGTATGTGGAAGGCATCCAGTTTTTTTATGCTTCACATCTTTTTATTATTTTAATTTTTTTTTATTTCTTGCTTTAAATAATTTTAAAATAATTTTCTATACCAAAGCTCACCATCCAGTTCACTTTAAACTGCTGTGCAATCTTTATAGGTAAGCTCTCCTGTGTTTGGAATTTTCCATTTCACCTAATTTTGTCAAAGAAAGAAATACCTTACCCCAGACCAGCCGAAACACTCGTCCATGCGTATGTCACCTACCAACTTGACTTTTCAAATGTCCTCTTCTCCAGTCTCCTCAGCTACACCATGCACAAGATCCAGCTGATCCAAAACTCACCTGCACTAAACTTCATACCCACATCACACCAGTTCTAGCCAGGCTCCAATGGCTCTTTATCTCCAACGGATCGATTTCAAGATCCTCACACTTGTTTTCAAATACCTTCATGCCCTGGCACCTCCCTACCTCTCAAACCTGCTTACCCCCCAACCCACTATCCGCTGCCTCCTGCATATCCCTCATGGCTTCCGTTCCACCATCGGTGGCCACGCATTCAGCCACTACTCCCTGAATCTCTGGAACTCTCTTCCTCTGTCTCTCCACCTTGCCCCTTTCTTCCCCATCTTCAGATCGTGCCTGAAGACCTTCCTCTTTGATTGTGCCTATGGTCACCTCCCACCGGCTCAGCATTGTGCACTGTCAAACACTGTGGGACCCTACCCTGCGTGAGGAGCGCTACATAAATGCAAGTTGTTGTTATACGAGTAATAAAGATAGCGGATAGTGTAGGGTTTGTAATTTTTATGGAGAAGGCAATGTTGATTTAATATGCAGTAATATCTTTCAAGGTTGATGTGATAGCATTTTGTTTCATTGCTTAGACTTACTGATACAGCTTTAATTGTTGGTGGAAATTGTATTTTATTGTGAATAATAGTTTTTATTGCATTTCTTATTTAGTTCTTATCAAGGCTAGGAGTAGTTTGATGGCCAATATGATGGGCTGTAATTTTGTCTGGAATCTGAAAAAGTCATTTGTACTGTGATCAGATATCGATCTGTTGCACTGACCGCAATATAACGACCTATCCATTTATTGGAAAGATATCATAACAGAGAATATATGAATATCAAAAGGCAAGTCATTGCTGTATTGAGTTGAACACTGAACTGTTTCGATGATTGATGAATGATGTTGGCCCAATGAGATGCAAAAAGGGGTGACCTCTGCACTGCGGCTTTCAGTTCTAGTGTTTGCGTACTCAGCTATTAAGTGCAATTTTTAAAAATTTTGTGTAATTACTGTTCTGTTTTTCTCCCCATTCACATCTCCTTCTGCCCCTTGTCCACAGCCTCCTTATACCACCAGTCCCACAAAAAAATGGTCACACTCCAGTGCCCGGCTGAAGCGACCGTTTTTCCTGTGTGAAAGTTGTCTGCGAATGTTTGCAGGCCAATTGACTGCAGAAAGGAATACAGATAAGCCTAACCTCTCCCTACCCAGCTGCCACACATGTGCATTACCAATGCATAGTAGGAGAGTCCTGTAGTGTAGTGGTTAGAGCACACCTCACAAGCAAGGGGACCTGGGTTTGATTCCCGGGCAGGGCAAAACCTTAGGCAAGTTTCCTTATTCCGAACGCCTCTGTTTAACTAGCAGTAAGTAGGAACCCAGTTGTTAGTCGATTAGCAGATCACTTTCTTGGGGGTAATAATCCCTTCAAAAACATTTTTTTAAAAAATAATAATTTGGTGACTCAATCCACGACTGTTTCTGGGACACTGCTGTGCGCAATTGTCTACCACGTTTTACCCACAAAATATACAGCCATTTCATTTTTGAATATATTCTATGAAGCGCTTTGAGATGTCTCGAAGACATGATAAGGTGTTATATCAAATGCAAGGATTATATTATTATTATAGGGGTGTGTTGTATTGTCAGAGGTGTCGTCCTTTGGATGAGATGTTAAACTGAGGTCCCGTCTGCCTGTTCAGGTGGATGTTAAAGATCTCATGGCACTATTTGAAAAGAGAAGGGAGTTTCTCGCAGTGTCCTGGCCAACAATCACCCATATGAAATTGATTACTCACTCCATGGCTGCCAATGTGATCAGGCGCTGCACCAAATGCAATGATTATTATTATTAGAGAAACCAGGACCAGTACATAAGAACATAAAAAGAGAAGAAATGCTAGATGAAAAAAGACCTAGTCCCATCTAGTTCGCCTTCCACCTTCCTGGGGGACCCATGCACATATGTCCCAGTAAACCTGTCTGATTTTGAGCTCCCTACTCTGGGGAACGCCTGGGCCAATTCAGCCTCAGATACAACTCTGGCTGAGACCAGCAAACTCAGCATCAACTGAGAGTTGATCCAGAGTTCCCAGTCTGTAAGATGCAGCTCTATCCAACAGCCCATTGGGGAAATCTGAAAATAGCTTTACTATATGATACTAACATATTATATGATGAAATAATACAGGGTTTTATTTTTATAATAAAAATCTACTTTTAATAAATAAATGACTCTCATTCTACTGTGCAATGGTGGATATGGTGACATGGCAAATATTCTGGAGATTTTACTTAATTGCCTTTGGGGTTCAGGGAGTATTTATGTGCAGCTTTCCTCCATAATCTCCTTTATTGATATAATAATGAGTGGAAGAATGAATTTCTGTAGAAATAAATCAATAATGCAGATGGTTTCAATACTGCACTCCACTTTGGTTCTTGTATCTTAATGTTGATTATGTCTCATCTATTTCTGATTCGATTTTTTTTTCTCCCTATTTTATAGAGCCATTGAAGTTAGCTAATTTCCTTTCTTTAATAATTTTGGTGATTTTGTTCTAATTCTATTGAATTGGCCTCTGCTATAGAATTAATGAGATCAGTCCACTTGTGGATATTACCATACTCAGAAGGCAGAGGAATGTCTTATAGCATATTTTAAAAGTATTCTTAAGAAATTAGAATACCATAATCTTGACCGTATAGTTTTCCAGCTAGACATTTTAACTTTTTGTGCGAACATAAATTGTTTGGTGCCCATAAGAGTTGTTCAGCCTCTCTGCCCCCACACTCTGGAACTCCATCCAACAGTCCTTTTGCCTCACTTTCTTCCTTGCCTCCTTCAAGGCCGTCTCAAGACCCTCCTCTTTGATCGTGCCTTCGGTCGCCCTCCCATCTCTCTGCCTTCCCTCGTCCCTACCCCACCCCTCCCCCATGCTCGGGTCCTAAGCCCTGACTGTCCAGGCCTTGGTACGTCCTCCTGATGTGAAGGGTGCTCCATAAATATAATTTTGTTGTTGTTTTTCATTACCCCATGTGAAGGGTACTGTTTGCCATTTGTTATTTAATAATAATAATATAATAATAATCCTTGCATTTGATATAGCGCTTTTCACGTCGGGAAGACGTCCCAAAGCGCTTCACAGAACACACTGTAAAGTGAATTGACTGTATATTTGTGGGCAAACACGGCAGCCAATTGTGCACAGCAATGTCCCACAAACAGTCCTAGATTGAAAATGACCAATTTATTATTAGTTTGGGTTTTGGAGGGATTATTATTAGGCGTTTGGAGTAAGGAAACTTGCCCAAGGTTTCGCCCTGCCTGGAATTGAATTCAGGTCTCTCGCTTGTAAAGTGAGTGCTCTAACCACTGAGCTACAGGACTCCATGAGTTAAGTTGTTGTATTTTCCTTTGCACCTTTAGGTTAGTGCATATATAAATGTATTACATTGTAGAATCACCTATAGATTTGCACAGCAAGAAATACACTAAACTTTCTTGCTGTTTTTGTTTGTGAAAGCATGTTCCGGAACGATTACCTCACCCTGGTGAGATTACAGACCACACAATTTTGAATGTGTTTGGACAAATGGGACATGCAGGCCGCTATATCTTGGATGGTCTCAAGGTAGGTAATCAGAATCAATATTTAAAAACTTCTACAGTAAAACTTACATAAATTTTATCTTTATAAATTGTATAATCACCTAAGTCATACATTTACCCAAGTCCCATTCAGTTTCTTATCAAAACCACTTAGATTTCTTTGCCAACTCATATTAATCACCCTTTAACTCGTAACGCTGTTCGTTATACTCCATTATTCCCCACTTACCAAATGAATAGGGGGAAATTGCGTCTTGACCCGTGGACGCATGCGCACTTACTGGCCGGCTACATTGAATCTTGGGAAATGTAGTCTTGATTTGTCAGTGCATTTGCAGAAGAACTTCATTTTCTGCGATTCATTGAGATTTCAATGATTGCCGGTAAGTGAGCATGCAGCAACAGGTCAAGATGCATTGAATTGTGGGACATATAGTTGCGACGAAGTAACGCATGTGCACTTACCTTGTGCATTGAATTACGCATGCACAACGTAGATTATTGATTTCTGTGATTTATACAGTTTGACTAGAACTCAGACTTTCGCAAGTTATATTAAATGTTATGGTCCCAAATGATACAACTAATGTGAATTTTACTGTAATTTATGTGTAAAAATGGCTTCCAACCTTACACAGTCATTTGACTTTCACTAGACTGGAGCTGTGTACCAGGAAATGTATAAGGACTCTGACCTAATGATTGGAGCAGTGATAAATGTCTGGGGACGGAAAGTGGTGATCTGTGATTGTGATGAATTCACAAAAGAATACTACCGGAACAAATATGGTATTGGTGAGTACATGCCTGGGAATGCCAATCCTCTGAAGCAAAATGGCTCGGACATCTCTCCCCCATCTCTACCTCCCAGCTGCTGGATATGAACTGGCACTGAGACAGCCTTGGAGTGGTCTTCATTTCCCTCTCTCCCCCCAGGAATAGTGCTCTACCAAAGTGATTGCTTCACATGGGAATGGTAATTAGAAATAAAGATGACATCTCTCCTCAGAATGAGTTTCAAAACCGGGAATGTCTCACTTAGGAATGTTGCTAGTAACAAAGGGAACATCTTACCTAGGAATGGTGCTCAGAGAGGGTAAATGTAAGGGATGGAAATAAAATGTGTATTTCGAAATAGGGGGAAAATAAATAGAAACCTCAAGGAATGTAATTAATAAAGTTAAGATGCTTCTGAGTTCATAGAGATGATGTGATTCCTACTTATTGTAGAAATAAGGGGAAGAAATTCCACCAGTGTCTAGATTTACTCTGTATAGCATTTCAAAGCACTCAGAATTTGCACATTCATAAATACAGTACAGCCTTAATTTTGATGCCAGTTTTCGGTAAGTTCTGCAGGCTCCCATGTACCTATTTTACACCAAGGATAAGGCAGTTTCCTTGAAAAAAATGACACAAACGATTAACCTCAACATCACTTTTTCAAACTATAAAACAGATATATTTGAAAAAGGTTATGCAATAAATTGGGATCTTGCCAAATGCAGAAGGTTGTTGAGCTTCACGGAAATAGGATGTGTGTGTTTGTGTGTGTGTATTTAATGGCTGCACTGATGACATATTCCATACATTTTATAATATAGGGTGAACCTGAAGATCATTTCCAATTGGTTGGAAGTGATACCATAATTTACAATATTAATAATATAAGGCCTTTCATAGAAGTATTATAGTAAAGAAATGTGGATAAATGTAAAGTACTTCACATAGGGACAAAAAATCCTGGAAGGGACTATTAGTTGAACAAAAGGAAAATAATATGTATGGAAAATGAAAAGGACCTGGGGGGTTTCCTGATTGACAATAAATTGAAGCTCTCCCAACGATGCTTTGACAGAGAGTAGAGCAAACCACTTGTTGGGATATATCAAAAGATCAATAGCAAGCCAAAGTAGTGGAGTAATCCTGCCACTGTATAAATCATTGGTGAGACCATACTACTGTGTACAGCTCTGGTCGACACACTACAAAAAGGTTAGTGGAGAAATTGAGAAGATACAGAGGAGGGCAACCAAAATGATTGAGAAAATGGAAGGACTGACTATGAGGAGCGACTAAGTAAATTGAGCATGTACACGTTGGAAAATAGAAGATTGAGAGGCAACATGATTGCTGTCTTTAAGATTCTAAAGGGGCAAAACAATATAGATCATGACAGTCTGTTTCAACTTGTCCAGAATAGTAAAACCAGAGAACACGGCCTGCGATTGAAGGGGGTTAAATTCAGAACAAATCTACTAAACACTATTTTAGTGAGCGAATAGTGAACCTGTAGAACAGGCTCCCTAGGGAAACGGTTGAAGCAGGAATTGTTGATTCTTTCAAACACAGATTAGATAGTTTTCTTTTAGGAAATAACATTATGGTATATAGTACATTGGTAATTTGGGACATACGCGCATGCGACCGCCGGAAGGCGAACTAGATGGACCTGGGTCTTTTTTCATCTAGCGTTTTTTATGTTCTTATGTAAAGATCGAAGGTTGTTTGACCTTCATACTCGTGACAATAGGGACAAAACTTCTGGTCAGTGCCAAAGCACAGCTTCAGATTAACTGCATTGTACATATATTGAGGAGCAGCAAAACCCAGTTATCCGAAATTGGATTGAATGGTGAAGCAGTAAATTTTAACCCTTCTTCGGTATATTGAAGAGCTGTAAAATTCATTACAAGACTTGGCATTACAGAAATTGGTTTTCATGCCATAATGGGAGGAATTTGACAAGCCAAATGTTGTATTATTGATCCAATCCTTTCCTAAATTACTGTATTTCACTGTACTCTAATGATAGTGTACTCGGTAGACTGATAATAATAGTAATTCTTGCATTTAACACAGCACCTTATCACGTCATTGAAGAGTCTCAAGGCACTTCACAAGATATACTGTAGACTGTAGTAACTGTATATTTGTATACAAACATAACAGCCAATATGTGCACAGCAATATCCCACAAACAGCAATAAAATGAATGACCAATTTATCTGGGGGATTGTTGACCAGGACCCAGAGACAACTTCCTTTCTAATTAAAACATGGGGAGGTAGAGTAATGTTTTAATCAGCTCAAAGTCTCTTTTTCTGAATTTGGATCCTACCCAGCCATTAGTAGAATAGTCAGGGCTAAGCACATTTTAAGTATCTTACTGAAAAAGCCTGCTGTACTTTTCTTTTTATATTTCTGTATTTTAGGATGTCCCAGCACCTTGGGATGTCCTCCCGACGTGAAAGGCACTATACAAATCTAAATTGTTGTTGTTGTTATTGGTTCTGTTGAACATGCCATTCCTTATAATTTATTATCTTTACCAATAATATTTGATATAGTGCCTTATCACGTCATAGAGACGTCTCAAAGCTCTTCACAGAATTTACTTATAAAGTGACTGTGTATTTTGTGTGTAAAACACATCAGTCAATTGCACACAGCAATGTTTCACAAACCGCCATGGAGTGAGTGCCCAATTTTTTTTAGTTGGGGATTGTTGGCAAGGACACCGGGAGAAACTCCCTTCTCTTTTCAAATATTTGCGTGCGATCTTTTAACGTCCATCTGAAAAGGCAGATGGGACCCCAGTTTCGCCTCTCATCCGAAGGATGCACCTCTGTCAATTTAACATGCCCTCAGCATTCCATTGGAGGATCAGCTTAGAAGGTGTGATTCCAAGGCCCGATGTGGGGCTTGAGCCCACACTGACTCGGAGGCAAGAGTGCATGAGTGTCAGCCTAGCACTGCGCCAGGCTGACACACAAGCCATTACCCCCAGAAAGCAAGTAACAACCGGGTTCCTACTTACTGCTAGATAAACAGAGGCATTTGGAGTAAGAAAAGTTGCCTAAAGTTTCTCCCACCCGGGAATTGAACCTGGGTCCACTCGCTTGGGAGGTGAGCATACTAATCACTATGCTACGGAACTTCACAGATAATTAATTAGATAGTATAATAGATAGTTAATTAGATAGGATAAGCATCAGTTATACTTTAGAATTTCCATAATCATGACCAAATCCTCTAATTATGTCTGTTTTCTTTACGTTTTCTTTGTTAGACCCTCATACACGCATTCATAACGTCCAAGCTCGACTATGTAAACTCCATGCTTGTCGGCCTCCTCAACTTCTCTCTCCACAGGCTTCAGATCATCCAGAACTCTGCAGCCCATGTCCTCTCCCGCACCATGTTCAGTGACCCTATCACCCCAATCCCCGGCTTCACTGGCTTCCAGTCACACAGAGGATATAGTTCAAGATCCTGGTCTTCACCTTCAAAGCCCTCCATGGCCTTGCTCCCCCCTACCTCTGTGACCTTCTAACCCCCTACCAACCTGCCTGCTCCCTCAGCTCAGCGGGCTCCGTCCTGCTTCATGCTTCATGTTTCCTGTCTTGCCCGCCCCACCATTGGTGTACGGGCCTTCAGCCACTCTGCCCCCATCCTCTGTAATCCCATCCCGCAGTCCCTCCACCTCGCCCCTTCCCTTGCCTCCTTCAAAACCCTTCTCATGTCCCTCCTCTTCTACCTTGTCTTCGATCACCCTCCTTCCTCCGCTGCTCTGCACCCTCCCCTATCCCGACCCCCACCTCGGGTCAGAAACACTCATTGTCCAGCGCCTTGGGACGTCCTCCTGACGTGAAAGGCTCTATATAAATGTAATTTTGTGGTAGTTGTGAGACAGATGTTGCATAATTCTCTTTGAAGGGTAATATATTCATAACATTTCCCCATAATCATTAATGTCCAAAGGGTGTACTTACAGATGTCATAAATAGGAAATGTGTTCATATAAATTGTCCTACAATGGAAAATGTTGCAAAGGATACACTTACTGTAGTCTTAAACATTTACATGAATTGTCCCATAATATTAAATATAATAAAGCAGACACTTTATTGGTGTCTTAAATGAGACGACTTATACAAACTGTTCCGGAATTAAATATTATAAAGACTAGCGTCTCCCTCAGGCATCCCTTCCTTCGGTGATTTGTGAGTTAAGAAGGCAGCCTACGAACCAACATTTCTTTTGAAGAAGTCACTGTGTTGTGACATCAGTAATAGATCCTCCCCTTTGCCACCCTACCCCCAGCTCATATTCACATCATAATACAGAGCAACTACTCCAAAGATCTGTTGCAATGTATTTCAAATTAACAGTTCTAAAGCTTAAAACACAGAAATGGGGAGAGGGGGATGCGTAGAGGTGAGAGGAATGCCAATAAATGTAGAGCGATTTCTCTAAAATGTTTCTCATTGTATGATAAAGGTAGAATTGGATTCCCCTTGATTTTTACGAGTTGCCTGGATGTTTGGAGGCAAAACTTTCACTGTGTTCTCTTAAAGAATATTTTAGCTGTTGCAAATAGATTTATATGAATCTTACATTTTATAAAGCTTACTATTGATCTGGATTGATATCGACAAAATACGAGAGAAATCTGGATGAAGAAAGCTCACTTTCAGAATAAGCATCCTAACATATTCCCATTACAACATGAAGCTGTTTCTTAAATGTGTCCAACATAATGGCCCCAATCTGACTGGATCTGGAACTCTCTGATTCCAGTTCCAGCTATTAATTACCACCTGTATAAAGAAATACTTGCTGGTGGTTATCCTAAAATTATTCTTTACTACCTTGAACCTATGTCCTCTTGTCTCGCTCTTGTGATTTACTTCCTCAAATCTGTTTAGCATCAAATGAGCCTCCAAATGTTTGAGTACAAGGAGGTGATGAGCAGAGGTGGGGGATGGAGGGGGTAGGTATTGGACCAGTAGGTGAAGAATAAGAGGGAATTTCTCTAAATATCCTTGCCAACAGTCTCCCAAATGAAATTGGTCATTTACTTTCTAGCTGTTTGAAAATCATTGCTGTGAAAATAAATTTGCTTCTGAGTTCGCCTACATATAACACAGTCACTTTAAGGTAAATCAGGTGAAGTGCTTTGAGATCTTTTGGCTCTGATAAGGCTCTTTATAAAACAAAAGTATTATTATTATCTTCAGAAATATACGCAAAAAATATATGAATAAAAAGTAAAATGAAGTATCACAAATAGTTGATTTAATTAAGTTGGGAAGCAGATTGAGCCATCGGTATCTCAGTTGAATAATGAAGTGGATATATTTAAAGGAATTGAAATTTACACCAAAGAAAAATGATTGTGGTGTGCATTCAAGGCTGTACGTTTTCAAGTAAGACAGTCTGCCCTTCCTTGCTCTTCCTGGAGAAGCAAATTTACTTTAAATATATCAACTGAGGTATTGGTCTCAGTCTGCTTGCCAAATGAATGCGTCCACTTGATGGCGCTGTTGATCTTAGGAGGGTATCAAATGTAAGGAAGAAGAAAGCGTGAAAATAATTTAACTCTTTGAATACCGTTTATCCTTTTAAGCTTCCAAAAGGCATCCATTCTAGTCATATAACAGGTAGAAAAAAAATTCCCATCACACTTTCACAATATTGGCTATTGTTTTTTAGTAGAAGTGAATAGGTGTACAGAATTAAGGAATGCTTGCTTTTGAAATTTTATTTATTATCTGTGGCAAGAATCACACTTTGAATACACGTTTTCATGATCTGTACCCCTTGGTCTATAAATTAAAGAACTTCCTACAGGTGTAGAAAGGTGTAAAATCATTCATGTAACATCATTTTTAAATAAGTGTTTCTGAGCAAAGCGCATGGTGAGATTAAATGAGCTGAAAAACCTTCATTCAAACCTCTCTGATGCTGTGATCTGAAGTTTAATAATCCCTTTACCAAAATAATAAATAATTTGGTCACTCAAATCCACGACTGTTTGTGGCCACTGCTGTGCACAATTGACTGCCGGATCTCACCCACAAAGCACACAGTCAATTTGCTTTACAGTATTTTCTGTGAAGTGCTTTGAGACATTTCGAACACACGATAAAGCGCTATATCAAATGCAAGGATTATTATTACAACTAGTGGAATCTGGATCAAGCTGAAATTTTATGGTGAATCTTTTGCCCAAATTGTGGTTTTCCCTCCCCCCTTTCTCTGTCTCATGCACTTTTCCCTGAATGACTTGACAGGTAGGGAATCCCTGGAATGTGCAGGGACTTATCCTGTACTGGAAATTGTGCAATTTTCCTTCCACCCCTGAAGAAAGTCTTTTCACTTCCTCTTGACACCTCTTGCCAATGCCCAGCTGATAAGACTTCACCATGCAGAGAAGCCTAGATTTCCATCTCCAAGCACTCCATAAAGAGACTGCTCCATTTTAGAATATTTCTTAAATCATTTCATGCTTTGAATAAATATGTGCACTATATGTTTTAATACTATATAAATATTGGACACATGAAACATTAAATATCTCAAGCACTATGTTATCAGTTCAATCACAACGGAAAGAACAGTTTGAGACTGATTAACATTAACCTCGTGGAAGGGTAGGGGGAGAGTATTAATTAAGTAACTATTTACCATTCTGCTGAAATAAAGCATGTTAGGCTATAGAAATATTTTATACAAAATGTCAGTTTGGTACTAATCCCTAAACTAAACCTTGGCTAATATGTCACTGGGAGTTCCCATTGCAAGACCAAGTGCATTGTGAGATCAGCTCCATATAGTTAGTTCAAACCTGGCATTCATGGGTAAAATCACTTAACTTCAGGCTTTTAGCATGCTAGAAAATGAAATAATGGATTATTTATTGTATAAAATGCACAATATTAAAATGTCCTGGACTGATTATTTGCTTGAACAATAGAAGGCTTGATTTCTGGTGGGTCAACTCAATAAGTGAGTACCACATATCACATTGACAAGCTATCTTCCTTGGAGGGGAGTGGGTTATGCTCGGTCTCACTGAGGATGAACTGGCTTCTAGTAGAAATGACTGGTAAAGTCTGATGGGCGTGAGTAGTCCAAGTCATTGTTGATGATTGACTTGTGTGTCAGACTCATCAATGAGATTTGTGAGCAAAACATAATATGCAAGATAGTCCTAACTCGACAAGTGCGATGAAACTCATTTGTGTTTTGTATTGGTAAGCTGAAAGATTTCTATCACCATTGATATGAAACAAGCTGTCAGCACAGGATTAGGCAGCAAAATAATTGAGGTTTGATGCAAGGACCAAGTCAGTGAACATAGTTTGTATTCTTTGTCTGACTCAAAAGCATGTCGTACCTGCACTGTCTGAACATTCATTATCTGCAAGACAAATTGAAATATATTTTGAATATAAATGCAAATATTCGGTGTACTCCTGTATATAGAACGATAGCGCTATCTATCACCTCCTGACGCTAATTTAAAAACCTGATAAACTTGATTTGTGAAAGAGAAATGTGACTGTAAATTCCATATTTTATTTAGTCGATACTGTAGATCAAAACATTGCAACAAATATGTAGCCTTGTAATTCCAATGTTTTCTTTCTACAAAATGCAATATAATACCAAGTATTTTTAATTTGAGTTATTTAAATTTCAGCGGAATTCACCCCAATCAAAATCAAGTCAAAAGAAGGACCTAAAATTGAGAAGGAAATTGCTCCATACACTGGTTTTGGATCAGAGGAAGACTCCCTCAATTCAACCCTTAAAATGGTTCCTCATGTACAACGAAACATGTTAAAATTCATGGAGAATGACAGGTAGGAAAGAAATCTTATGAAAGATACAGATATTCACTTGGGGTCTCAGTTCCCGCTTGGAATCCTTTGTCGCACATCTGAAAGCTTTTATAATATATGGAATAATGAGTTTTATTTCTGCTGGTGCATCTGTTGTTTTTCTGCAGTACCACACAATGATTGTGGGACTTCACAAAATGATTGTGTTCTTTTGGATGCCGAATGGCAAATTCTTCGTCCATCATTTAAATCGTTAGCTTGTATCACCATGACTCAGTGCAAGTATTTAAATGTATGTTCTTATTGAATTGGACATTATGCTAAAAGAAATCTATATTTGCCACTTTGATTCAGCAGTTGATAGAAGAAGCAATAAAGTTGTGTGTGTGCTGTATTGCGAGTGCTCGGAATTTCGAGCGCTCTGAATTAAGCGCTCTGGGACTCTACCCTGGGTGAGGGGCACAAATTAAATGCAAGTTGTTGTTATGAAATTAACCACAATTTAGGATTTATAAATTGATCAATTACATAATTAAAATCACTTGTAATTCTCTCTATAAACTTCTTTGCACATTAATTACACATGACTCTTAATACACATGCAATTACACATGTATTGCACATGGCTTACATGTGGTGTATGATTGCATGTTATTCCATCATGTAACTTCCTTTGTCCCCCAACATAGCAGGTTGGTTCTCTTTCTCCTGCTCTAGCAAACATAATGAATAATAGACTCAGAACACATACACAAACTAGTAAGCTTAAACAAAATTGGGTCATAGTACTTTAAATTTATGCCAAGCCATGCTTTTAAACTTGCATTAGTTTCACATTGCTCAGAGTCATACTGTATCCTGCTTATGGAACATGTATTTGCAGGTTGTGAATTTCAGGAGAAATCAAGATAAGCACAATTTCTTACCTTAGAAAAGCTGAGTGGTTAGAAACAAGTGTTTGAATTGTATTCAACACTAAAAAACCGGGTACAACAACAAAATTACATTTATAGAGCGCCTTTCACGTCGGGAGGACGTCCCAAAGCGCTGAGGTATCCTGTGGGTTATGTACAAAGACGTATATATAAGTGTGGATGTCTTACTGAACGTTGGTTTCAAATTCTTTTAGACAAGGTCTGGATGGTAATGTGCTCCGGTTTTCTGCCCGAATGGTATTGGACAGCAACCCAATCAACAGTGAACGGAAATTTGTCATTTCATATTTCTTGAATGATGACACTATGAGTATTTTTGAACCTCCTATATCAAACTCAGGTAAAATAATATTGTACTTGTGTGTTTAAACTTATAGAAAGAATGCTGGATACTATTTGTATGTGCGTGTGCGAATGATTAAAGCCAGAATATACAGAATTGTATGTATTTCTAAGCTTTTCCTCTATGTTTCATATATTTCTCCTTTCATCTCTTTCCCACGCCCAAGCTCGGACTCCCATTCAATTGTGTGAAGTGCTTTAAGATGTGAAATGCGCTCAATAATTGTTAATTGTTGTTTGAATTTACTATTCTTCAACAATCTCACCAAGGTGGACAGTAATAGTGCTGGTAATTTGAGCACTTTACTACACTATAGTGTTTCAAACGTAGGACTATACATACAGTATTTTTATCAATGCAGCCGTTAGATGTGGTTGTGTTGAGTTAGGAGATGGTTTCCATTCAGATTTATGTTATTTGGAAACAAGAAATCCTTCCAACTTAGCTGTTTATCTGACTTGTAAAATTCGACTAGTGCAAAGCAATCAAAATGTTTTTTTAATAGAAAAATGGATGAAATTTGGGTGCACGTATGGTTTAGGAAAGTACAAGACTTATTTCAGCGCCTTGGGACATCCACCTGACATGAAAGGCGCTATACAAATGTTATATTTTATATTTTTGTATTATGAAACACATTATGCGAGTTTATCTGTATCAATTTTCATCAGAAGTGTGTTGTATTCTTTAAAACCTTCACATTCTGAAGTAATTTCCTATTCCTTCCAGGTGTTGTTGGTGGAAAGTTTTTGGAAAGAGGAAAAATAAAAAAACCTAACCAGGAGCTCTTTAAGAGTGAGCCATCGCAATACTTTACTGTGCATGACCTGTTCATCGGAGCTAAGCTGTGCCTCAATGGTCACAGCTTTTTGTTGGTAGATGCTGATGAATATACTTTATGTTACATGGAAAAACATGCAGATGAAGTACGTTATGAAACACTTTTGGCCACTTATCCTTCCTTAATACTATTGTTCAATTTACCTTGAAATAAGTTTTAAAAAGGTTTGTTCATAAGATGTAACTATTTGGATAGATAATTCAAAATAAAAGTGAGGTATGCAAACATTTTGGGTCTAATTTGTGGAGGACTTTGAGTTCATAATCTAGGCTGATACTCCGAAGACCCTAAACTGAGGACCTGTCTTGCTGTTCAAATGAATGTTAACGATCCCATTGGCACGATTTGAAAGGAGTTTCTCCTGGTGTCCTGACCAACATCAGTCACAACAAGGCTGTTTGTGAGTCGCTGCTATGTGCAGTATTTGCCTACAAATACATAGTCACTACATTTTGCAGTAAAACCTGTGACGTGCTTTGACATTATAGGTGCTATATCAAATTCTAGGATTATTACAACAATCAATGTACACAACCTGTGGGTTGGGTTAACTGCAAATGTTTATTTGTTTCTTTAATCATGTAATTAATAACTAATGAAAAGGATAGTGGGTATTTATGATTCCATTGGTTTGCTAATTATCTAATGAAGGGTATTTGTATTTGTGTGCCCATTGTGGTTAAACCCACCTGCAAATGTTTGTATGGATTGTTAACCAACCCACAAATTAGACACAAAATGTTTTGCTTTTTGAAGAAGTTTTATTAGCATTTAATATCAATGAGATCAGTAATTTTATTATGAACTAGACTATGAAAGCAAAAACTCGTTAAATTTCAATCATTTACAGATAGATGGAAGTTAACCAAATAATGGTTAAATTGGCCAGACTTTATATGAATAAAATATATGCTTTGAAAAAGTTGGTAAAACCTTTGAAGAAGTAGTTTGAAGTTTTAATTAAGATTGCTCTTCATTTATCAAACTCTATCCAGTTATGAAACAATTAGGATGTTATTTACTTTTAATTTCAATTTTGGATTGATTTATTTCAAACCAGTAACTTTGATATTCACTATCTTTTAGTTTTATACTTAATTTCTAAGACATAGACATAATTTAATTAAACAATGAACATGTTCTGTTTTGTTCTTTATTGATTTCTTTTACATGACAGCAGCTTTATTTTTGCTTTTTCCATTGCATTAGTTCCTCAAAGGTAATATCTGTTCAATCCTGAGCAAACTCAAAACAATAAACAATGATAAATCTCTCGAAATTAAGAGGATGTTTGCAGCTCAAGATTTCGGAAGCTGTGGCATAATTAGATACGATCAGTTCAGGTGAGCTCTGCAGATTAATCTAAATATTTTTCTTACGTTTTTCACCTTTTTGTATTCTAATTGTCCTATTTATTTTATTCTTAATTATAGCACTCCTCCACATTTTACCCTGCGTAACTCAGCACAGACCAGGGATTATTATTGGGGCCTTCTTGGACTATATTGGCTGAGTGGTGCACCGCAAGATCTAATTACCTTTTGAGCCATTGAACTTTTTAATGTAATATTAGTGTATCATTTGTACTTTGCTTCTAAACAGGGATATCTTGCTTGAGATTGCACAGGAACACTTCACTCCTCATGAGATTATGACAATATGCCGCTACTATAGCATCCGTGAACAGCCAGGTTCAGACTTGTGTGTTGTACTAGCTCTGGTCCAAGAACAGCTGAGAAAGCACCCCTTTGAAGACTTCACTAAACTGACTCAAGCATTCACATTTGAGGATCAGCAAAGGTAAAGTGTACAATAATTTGGTCACTCAATCCACAATTGTTTATAGGACACTGATGTGCGCAATTGGCTGCAGCGTTTCGCCCACAAATCACACAGTCAATTCACTTTACGGTATATTCTGTGAAGTGCTTTGAGACGTCTCAACAACAACAACAAGATTACATTTGTATAGCGCCTTTCACGTTGGGAGGACGATCCAAGGCGCTGGACAGTGTACAGCATTTCAGACCCTAGCTGGGGTCAGGGAGGGAGAAGGGAGGGGAGGAGAAGGGAGGTGACCGGTCATGGTCGAAGAAGAGGGTCTTGAGGCGGGACTTGAAGGAAGATAAGGAGGGGATGAGGCGGAGTGATTGTGGGATGGAATTCCAGAGGTTGGGGGCAGAGTGGCTGAAGGCTCTCCCGCCAATGGTGGGGCGGGTGGGTTCGGGGATGTGGAGCAGGCCGGAGCCAGCTGAGCGGAGGGAGAGGGTGGATTGGTAGGGTGTTAGGAGGTCGCAGAGATAGGGTGAGGCAAGGCCATGGAGGTCTTTGTAGGTGAGGACCAGGATCTTGAACTGGATCCTCTGAAGGATAGGGAGCCCATGGAGTTGGGCGAGAGTGGGGGAGATGGGGTCACGGAGTTTGGTGCGGGAGAGGACACGGGCTGCAGAGTTCTGGATTATCTGCAGCCTGTGGAGGGAGGAGTTGGGAAGGCTGACAAGCAGGGCATTTGCATAGTCGAGCCTGGAGGTGATGAAGGTATGAACAAGAGTTTCAGTGACCTGAGGGGTGAGGTAGTGGCGGAGTCGGGCGATGTTACGGAGGTGAGGGAAGGCAGAGCGGGTCATGGCTTGAATGTGGGGGAGAAAAGACAGTTGAGAGTCGAACAAGATACCTAGGTTCCTGACTGGCTTGGTGAGTTGAAGTGTGCAACCATGGAGGTTTATGCTGCCAGAGCCTGAGGTGCAGAGGCGCTGGCGCGAGCCAATCAGGAGGCCCTCAGTCTTGTTCATACTCAACTGTAGGAAATTTGCCCTCATCCAGGACTTAATGTCCGAAAGGCAGTCTATATCGGTGACTCAAGGTCACAGATTCAAAATAGTATGTAAAAGAAGCAAAGGGGAGGTGAGAAGAACTTTTTTCACGCAGCGAGTTGTTCGAATCTGGAACGCATTGCCTGAAAGGGTGGTCGAGGTCGATTCGATAACTACTTTTAAAAACGTGGTGGACGGGTATTTGAGGAGGATGGGTTTGCAGGGTTATGGGGAAAGGACTGGGGAGTGGGATTGACATTAATTGCTCTATTCAAAGAGCCGGCACAAACTTGATGGGCCGAATCTCTTCTTTTTGTGCTATACGATTCTATGATTCAGTGGTCCTGGAGTTGAGGGTGGAGGCAGAAAGATAGAGTTGGGTGTCATTCGCATACGTCTGGAAGTTGACCCCATGTCTGCGGATGATGTCACCAAAGGGGAGCATGTAGATATTAAAGAGGAGAGGGCCAAGGACAGAGCCCTGGGGACGCCAGGCATGACAGTGCGGTCATTGGAGGAGAAACTGTTAGAGGCAACAAAGTGGTGACAGTGAGAGAGATAGGATCGATCCAGGCAAGGGCAGGTCCGTGAAAGTTAAGTAAAGAGGAGAGGTGGTGTATGAGGATGGAGTGTCTTCAACAGTGTCAAAGGCGGCAGAGAGGTCGAGGAGGACAAGGAGGCAGAGGGAGCCCTGATCACAGATGTTCAGAATGTCATTAGTGACTTTGACCAGGGCTGTTTCCGTGCTGTGGGCAGTGCGAAGCTGGATTGGAGGGGTTCAAAGAGGGAATGGTGAGAAAGAAAGGAGCGGAGCTGGGACGCTAGCACTCATTCCAGGACCTTGGAGAGGAATGGGAGGTTAGAGATGGGGCGGTAGCTGGAGAGAAGGGCTAGGTCCAGGGAAGGTTTTTTCAGGATGGGAGTGATGGTGGCTATTTTTAACGGGGTGGGCAATGAGAGGTTGATGACGTTGGACAAGAGAAGGGCCAGAAGGTGGAGCTGGGGGATGAGGAGAGAGGTGGGGTTGCGACCAAGGGAGCAGGTGGTGGGTTTGAGTTTGTGAATGATGGTGGTAAGGGAGGAGGGAGAGATAGGGTTGAAGGAGTATAGGGGGGATGGGTGGGGGTTGGGTGATGAGGGAGAGGTGATGTGGGGTTGGTGATGGACAGGGCAAAAGTGGCTGAACGTATCCCCGCGATTTTGGATTCAAAGAAGTCCAGCAGCTCCTCACAGTTAGAGTTTGAGGAGAAGATGGGCGAGGCGTGCGAAGGTGGACGGAGGAGATGGTCTGTGGTGGAAAAGAGAAGCCTGGGGTTGTCCTTTGCCTCCAATATAACCTTGGAGTAGAAGGAGGATTTGATGGAGGTCTTGGTGTGGTGAAGCCAAATCTGCCGATGGACCGTTAGTTTGGATTTGGTCCATGCACGTTTGGCACTTGTGCCTTGAGGGAACCGAGATAGCTGGTGTACCAGGGGGATTTATGGGAGTATGAGGCAGTTCGGGAGGTGGGGGGACAAGGGAGTCCAGAATGGAGGAGAGGAAGTTGTGGAGAAAAGAGAGCGAAGAGGGGAGATTGGTCAGGGAGGGCCAGAGGTGTAGGAGTTCAGATGGCTCCAGGGCAGTGGAGAAGAAATTTTTTTCCACGGACGGTATGAGATGGTAGAGGATTGAGAAAAGGGAAGGGGTACGAGGTGTTGAGGGAGATGAAGCAGTGGTCCGAAATGGCTTTGTCGATGATGGTGATGTCCGAGACGGTGAAGCCCCGGGTGATCACCAGATCAAGGGGTGGCCACAGTCGTGGATGGGGAGTGGATGAGGAGGGAGAGGTTAAGGGAAGAGAGGAGGGAGGAGAAGTCGGCAAAGGTAGAGCAGAAGGGGGTGAAGTGAAGGTTGAAGTTGCCTAAGATTAGGAGGCATTCAGAGCAGAGGGGTGACCCAGGTTTCAGTGAGGGTGGGGATGTCAATGTTTTCCTCGATGGTGAAATCATGGATTGTGAGGGACTTATTTGTTAGTGAGTGGACGTTCTGCAGACTGATGCAGAGGGGACAGTTAGTGGTGAGAGTGTGGGGGAGATGAGGGGGGGAGGGGATGGGCAGATGGGTTGGGTGGCGATGTGGATAAGGAAGGAGTTGTTGGCTCCTTGGGTGAGGGCCGGTGGGCTTTGCGGCGAGAGTGGGGTAAGGGGCAGTCAGAGTGGGTGCTGTTGGACAGCCGATGGCGTCTACCATGGTGGGCACAAAGGAGACTGTGAAGGGAGGCTGTGGGGGAGTCGAGGAGGGATAGGAGTTGGGGTAGGCAGAGAGAGAGGAGGGTTGAGACGTGATAAGGCTCGATATCAAATGCAAGGATTATTTTTGTGAAGCCCTTCATTCATTTTGTGAAGCCCTTTCAGGCTTTTTATCTACCAGGAAGCTATATAAATGTATGATTATGAATGTATGTATAAATGTTTCTGTAGTGAATACATTGTGAGATTGTACATCTTAAAATGGATTGTTTAAAGAGATCTATCTCTTGCACAATAATTTTCCTTGAAACAATCCAGTGTAATATGAAAAATCTCCTGTGAAACATAAATTTATTTTTGAAAAATTATCTGTCCAGTACTTCAATGGCATCAAGAGGTTATCTGAGAATTCAACAGTGACTTATTGCAGCAAATGAAATGTGATCCATGAACATTTTGGTAGGTTTGTGTGGTGAATGTAGTTCTTCCAGGGGAAGAGAACAGAACACTGCTAAAATCATTATAAGGAAAAATTATTCGGTGATTTATTTTTCCTTCAAATTTAATTGACCTAAAGGTCAAAAGCCAAAGCTGTCCATTCTGTTATTTTGGTGCCTCTTTGTGGCAGGGTTCTGTGAATATCACTAACATATCGTGCATGAGTGTGTGTTTGTGTGCAAGAGATTGTGTTCACACTTGTTTTACTCCACCGAAAGTAATGAACAACGGAAATTTGGGAGCTAAGATTGAAAGTTGAAACACCATCTTTGCAGTTAGCTTTCAAGTCCCACACATATCTCTGGAACACCCCAGTCATTGTGTGAGGATTCCAGAGAAGTAATCGTTTTGTAAAGGTGTTTAACAGATGACAAGCAGGACATTTTAGAATCACTGGCACTTTGAAGGTATGCATCCAAGGCAAATGTACTAAGGAGATGAAAACCATCTGGTGGTGATATCTCAGTAACAATCTGCAGCACAGATTGAGGTGCAAAGACAGGTACTCTCTTACTCTGATGTCTTAGTCCCTAAAATCAGATTGATAATAAACAAAGAAGTACAAAGCTTGTTTAATTCTAGTAGCTAAAACGGTTAATATGTATGAAACAGAATTTATCCATTGGATTGGTTGATTAAAGCCCTGTCTGCTCTTCACTGCAGAATTGAATGCGCTGTATTGTTTGCTGATCTTTTTTAAAAAATTTGGTTTAGGTTTGGGGGTCAGTCTCTCAACAGCAATCCTATAGCACAAATTAAGGTTGAACCTGTTCTTATTTGTTAAGCAGTGCCACTGTACTCAATAGCTGAATGGGCCCAATGAAAGCTTTGTTTCCCTAAATAGGCATTGACATACACATTGATCTCATCCAAGGAAATGTAGTCACTTTTTTGGCAATCCCAGGATTCACAAATTGGAAGTCAAAATAAAAACAAATCCAGTTTGCAAATATTATGTTGTCTTACTCAACTGTGACCAATAATCAATGTGAATCTGTTGGAAAATTCAGGGATGGGCAGGCTGCGCCTTGAGTAAATTCAGTGTATCTGATGGACACTACTGTCCCATTCTTTTACCCCCAATCCACCTCCTCTGCAGAAGACATTCTATACATTTTCCTTAAGGTACAGTTGAACCACACGCCATGAAAAAATCAACTCCTCTTCTAGACTACAACTTCAATTGTGAAGATTTTCTATATTTAATGTAATAATTTTTCTCTTTTATTTAAAAAATAATCCCCTTCAGAACTGGATTATTGTCGACAAAGGAAAGCAGAAATATCTTGAAGTCATTCCATCTGCCTCTATCCAAAGATCTTATCGAAGAACTTCTGTCAAAGTAAGTTCATAATAGGATAGAGTAGAATCTTATTTTTTTGTAGACAATAAGCTAGAGAAAAAAATGTCTGTGATAGAAGCATGATAACAGATGTTCAGTATTTAAGCAATATTGGGGCTAAATTATTTTTGTCATAAAGGATTTTGCACAAATCTATTTCTTCCCTTCTCTCCAATTTTTAATCTCTTCTCCCGACGAAGCATAGAATCTTGCTGAGGTATATTTTCATGAGTCCCAACAAACCTCTAGTACCTAATGATGAGTAAATGTGGACTGATCTTTGGAAGGCTAAGAGGATGTGAAAATATCACAGCCAAGTCTAATTCTGTCATTATCAGATACCCTTACATGTGCATTTTCCAGCACTGGCCACTGGTTAATGATTAGGAATGATCTACCACCCCAAACCCCTCCACCCCCATATCTCTGGACATTAGACACATTGTATTTCCTGATTGAATGAAGTAAAAACTGTTCCCTCTGTCAATGCTATTCTGGAGATTGCCTTAATCTACCTAGTGAAAAGAGTATGCCAAGAGGCTCCCCCTTCCGATGATGTTACGGAGATTATAATTGTGAGGAACTGCAGATGTAAACTATTATTCAACCACTCGAAAAACAAACTCTATTCTCTTTTGTAAAACTGATACAAAAAAAGCATATTAACTTGAAACATACAATTTTTCACCTTCAGATGAGGTTTGCAGAGGCATTTAAAGTTACAAAGTGAAAGCCTTGCTATATAGGCATATTGAATGCTAACATGAGCTCTTGGAGGGGACTTTTTTCAATTTAAAAACTTTGTTCTTATTGATCATGTTATTGTAATTCAAATTAAATTATTGTATAAAACACTTGGAGATGTTTTGAAGTGATGAAGCACTTCTGTCAAAGCAAGTTCAAAGCAAGTATATTTGTGTTTAATATTATTGTTTAGTTGTGGTGTAAGTGTTTGTTTGGGATCCATACAGGTTCTAATGATGGAATGTAACAGGCAAAAAATAGATGAATGCTCTGTGTTTCAGGGTTGAAAGTAGAATCTAATTATTTACACTACCACTGCACTTTTACTCATGTCTATTGAATTTGTTTCTAAATGTTTTAAGGTTTAAAGATGCTGAAGGACGGGTGCAATATACAAATCTAATCTCAAGCATGAACTGGAGGGAATACCCTCTCCCAGCTTCAGAAGTTGCACAGTACCCCAGCAAGGTAAAACACATGTGAAATGCTTCAATGCCTAAACTCTGATACAAACGTAATTGTTTTACAGTATTACAATGCTATTTAGATTTTTGTCTTTATAGTATTAATTGAGGCTGACAGATGTCACTCTTGTATGATCAGTTGTAATTGATCTGTACAGGAATCATATCTCATCAAAGCAAGACCTACTCCTTTGGATCCCAGTTCCTACTATCATTTATTTGTGGAATCCTGTAGCTCAGTGGTAAGAGCACTCACTTCACAAGCGAGAGAGCTGGGTTCAATTCCGCAGGCGAAATGTTG